GCCTTCGCGGTTGGTAAAACCGTAAAATATCATCGCAATATTCTTAAAAATAGGTACGCAGTGCGTACATGTTGCATGCCATCAAAACCATAAAACCTCATGACTCAAAATACCATGCAGAAATCTTGGCCATCTCCATTGTTTTCTGTGTAAGTGTTATTCGTCAAGATTTGTCACTCGCCAAGTACAGTAAACAGAAGCAGCCACCCCCTGGCACTGAAAAAAGACACAGAAGGTCGATTAGAGAATAATCTTTCGAAACATGGTCTGGAAACTCAGTAAACTTCAAAGCGGTTATAATGAGCTGGGATTTTATGTTGAGCCGTACCTTACACCGTGTACATCCTTTGTTTTAGGTTTATTAATATTTAAATAACATGGTTGAATGACTGAACTGAAGCTGTTGGATGATTCGTTCATTATACTGAAATAGAATCTGTTAATTGACAGTGCACCGTGCACAAAACTGCATAAACGCGAACAAAAAGATAGAGCAAAGACTTTAACCACGGTTGGCACAAAAGACAGCAAATTCGGCCACGTACAAATAACTTTCTGTCGTTAGTTTGGAATATCACGAAACTTCCTCACAGGATAGAACTTGCCATTCCTAAAAATCATGTCGTTTTTGTTTTTCGATTTTGTTACATTTTGGTGGGAAAATAACGTGCCAACTTTGGCGCCAAAAAATTAAACACGAGCTAAGAACATGCTAGGAACTTTTTTGAAGAGATTGTCCTACAAAGGATCTCAGAACTGTAAAAACATTGAAAATACGCCAAAGCGGTGCAAAGATATGGTGCTTAAAATTCTGAAAAATCGGCCATTTTGTTACTAAAAATAGATTTTTTTCGAAATTTAAATGCCATATCTTCGCACTGCCTTGTTGTATTTTTAATGTTTTTACAGTTAGGAGATCCTTATAGGACAATCTCTTGAAAAAAGTTACTAGAATGTTCTTAGCTCGTGTTTAATTTTTTGGCGCCAAAGTTGGCACGTCATTTTCCCGCCAAAATGTAACAAAATCGAAAAACAAAAACGATACGATTTTTAGGAATGGCAAGTTCTATCCTGTGAGGAAGTTTCGTGATATTCCAAACTAACGACAGAAAGTTATTTGTACGTGGCCGAATTTGCTGTCTTTTGTGCCCACCGTGACGGAGTTTCCAAACCATGTTTTGAAAGACTATGATGAAAGTAAACGCTACCACGTCCCAACCAGTGCGCGCCAAAGAGGCAACCGCCCTGGACGTCTGTCATTTTGTATAGTATCAGGGGGGGGGGGTTGAATGCCTCCCAAAAGCACACCAGCCACGACCATGGCGTCAGCATTTTGATGATGAATTACGGTCACGCCAAAATCAATGGAAAACCATAAGAAAAACCAATAAATTGGGCTTCTGTATGACCAACCCTGTGCCCTGGTAATGATGCACGGCCGCTTATAACTTATGATACAACTGGTCTGAAACTTGAAATATTGATTCAATAAGTTTAAGATCAATATATTGTTTGAAAAATAGCTATTATGTCAAAATAAGAAAACTTAAGATTCTCACGCGAATAGGCAATGTTTTTATGAGCGACTGTTCATCGTTAGTTGCCAACGACGGTAATATAAACAAGGTCAAGTCAGGTCAAGTTTGTATCGAAGGCGATTGACTGTTAGATTATCTTTTATACTATTTTATAACTAAAAAATGTTATTTCCTACAAATTTAGTTTTATTAAAGGTGTAAAAAAAAACCTGGAAACGGTGAATTACTATAGATTGAAAATAATTATTAAACTATGATTGAAATTATCGACGTGGAAATAGAATGCTATATTTCGTTGTATTAAGTTTCAATACAGGGTGTATAAAAAAAGCGCAACCTCGGAATTTCCCAAGAAATCCACATTGTTTTAAAGACAAAAGATTTTATGCGCCTTGGAATTTAAAATAGCACAACTATCAAAATTACCGCACACGCGAGTGCATAAAGCAAAATTTATGCATTTATTTAATGCACAACAACTGTAATATGATCTATTAACAATCCGATTTCAATTCCCAGGGGCCTAAAATCTTTTATGCTTAAGAATTGCAAAGTGATTTCTTAGGAAATTCCGAGGTTGCGTTTTTTTTTATACACCCTGTAGTATATAAATAGTAATACATTTGACATCCGTAAGTACAATTTCTCATGCTGAATCAAACGGTGGTATATTTATCCTTATTGCGCCATTAGCCATTACAAATACAAAGACAAACCTAGTGCGAGTGATTTGTTATAAATAACAATACATACTGCGAGCGATTTGTCAATACAATTTCGCTTGATTTTCAAAGGCCATAAATCGCTAGAATACTTCTGTTCAGTAATACACTTGACATCCGTAAGTACAATTTCTTTATGCGCTGAATCGAACGGTGTCGCTTTCTTCTCAAAATATAGGAATTGGTTAAATCATTGTGAGCATGTTTTAGCTAAATTTACTGAGCTATAATATTACAGTAATATTATAGCTCAGTGGCTAAATTGCGCAATCCTGAGCCCACGATGCCGCAATGGAAAGTCAAACTTGCGACAACAACAAAAAAGCCGAAAAAATTCCTTGCATTCCAGCGAGGGCAAATTATGACACTGGCTGCGGCCAGTGTAATTATAGCAAAGTGAAACTGACTGACAATAATTGATTCGCTTTTAATGCTTGAAATGAACGCTTTAAGACGTGCAATTACAATGTTGATTTTACTGCTAAGTGCTACATGAAATAAGAAAAGACAAAGGAAAATAAGGCGAAGAGCACAAACGCATAAATTCGCTTTCGAAGCGTTATAAATTGTTTGTAATAAACAAATTGAGTATACATAGTGTAAGACCAGCCAGAAATCAACAGACCAGGCATACAATGAAATACAAAATACACCTAAAGAACTGCATCGTTTAGTACCGGCTTATATAAAGTGACTAATGAGATTCCCCGTATTTAAAGCATATTGCCTGCAAAGCATTCTGATCTGCTAACAGCAATGCATTCTGGTCGGTTAACAGCAGTGCATTCTGGTCTGAGAAACTGAAGTAAAATCTTACTTTCAGAGCCCAATACGAATTAGAACTGCTGACTTGCTCGCTCGCTTCAGGCTCTCTCGCTGCGTCAGCAATAAGCCGGAAACGATGCAGTTGTTTTGGTGTGATTTTGTATTCATTGTATGGTCTGATGATTTCTGGCTGGTCTTAAGGCGGCTTTCCAGCCCTCGCACGAAGCTCCTCGCAGCTCGCTGCGAGAACTCGCAGACGTTCTGCAAGTGTTTTGCCGCTCGCATACCCTGGAGCCAGAGGGTATGTATTTTCGCCTGTTTTGAATAACTCTCTGGTGAAATTGGCAGGGTTTTTTGGGTTCATTCCACACATAACTTTCAAAATTGGAGGGAAAGAATTGATTGGCTTGTTACTATAGGTTCGATAGACTACGTGTTCTGATTGGATATTGTAAACATCATAGCCTGTTCGCAGGCGTTTCGTGTTTTGATTGAATTGAAACATTTGAATTTTGAAATGTCTATATTACGAAAGTCACCGAACTGTGGAATCGCATAAAAAATTCGTATATCGACCACTCCCACAAACGTCTACGACCGCGCCTGCATATTCTTGCACGTTTACAATTCTATTTTCAAACAGCCAATTACCAAGAACCTGATTGGCTGTTCAAAATTAGAATTGTAATCATGCAAAACTATGTAGGTACGGTCGTAGACCTTTGTGGGAGTTGTCGATATACGAATTTTTTATGCGATTCCACAGTTCGGTGACTTTCGTAATATTATTAAATAAACGAACAAAAGTTGAAAGCAGTTTTATAGGCTGCATTTATAGATAGATTGATAAATTTCCTGAATTAAAAGTTTAACGGAGCATCAATCCCGCGCCTTGTCCAATTCAATTCACATTAAAGATGTACTTGCATCTTGCTATCGGTTATGGGAAGAGTTTAATATTCCAAAGTTCTAGCACCGAGAGTAGCACGACGACTTGGCAAAAGTCACAATTTTGTGGAGAAACCCATCTTAATAGTCATTTGCAAATTGAACGCTTTCATTGAATCTCACGTTCGTGAACTAAGAAAGCATGGATGCCGTGCTGACTTCACTGTCAAACGAAGAGGACGACAAAGCAATACTAGATGGAGGTTTACATTCGTATTTTGTAATCCCGAGTCTATTATTCGAAATGCGAAATTGAGAGAAATGGTTTCATTTGAAATCTACAAGACAAATTTGCTTCCTTTTGTATTAATTAACAGACAAAGTTCAAGTCGGCCCAAAGAGGTGTGTTTAATTAATTTAAATACAGATATTTTTGAATGTATATTACAGGATTAAATTGAATGTATATTGCAAGATTAAAGTGAATGAATATAAATAGATATTAATATTAATATTAAATTGAATAGATGTGATGTTTTAATTTAATGAAGTTCAGAAGAATGAATATTGTTACAAATGGGCAGGCATACACTGGACAGTATACATGCGATATTTTTAAATAAAACCCTGTCTAGACGGTCTTGTGTCAAGGATAATGATTGGATAATAAATTTAGAATATGATGCATTAAGCCATTATACGTTGTTTGCATTTTTTATCCGAACCAGGAAGCGCTAACAAATTCACCAGAGGTTTTTCTTTTCTCTTCACGCGTTTTCTCGCAATTCGCGTTCGGCAAACCTAAAAAAAACTCGGGGCCAGGGTAACGCTCGCAGGGAATAGTTCAGAATTCTGAATTATTTTTTACTCGCTGCGAGAGATCGCAATAATAAACCAATCATAAAACGGATTACAGTCACATGATAATTGGTTTTCAAAATGGCGGCTAGATGGAGTGATGAAAATATAGAAATTGTAATAGTTTTCATTGCATGGACTTCTAAATTGGTGACTTTACCAAATTGTATAAATAATCCGGCAAATTGGTTTGGTAACATCCTGAAACAATTGAAGAAGCCTTCGTGGTCTTCCTCCCGTAATTATTCTTTAACTAGTGTAAAAATTTTACATAGTTGTGCTCTCGTTTGGAATATTGGTCTTCCCAAAACTGTTTTAAATCTTTGGTACATCTTTTTCGTCTACTTCGCAATAACAACGTGAAAAAGAAAAAATTGCTTTTTGCTAAGCGCCATTTTGAACTTTGAACTCGTCCCGCCACTACCTAACCTACGCCATGAGCTACGAGATTGGCGTGTGGACGAAACGGAATGACATTCATGCGAGTACTCGCAGCGAGCTGCGAGGAGCTTCGTACGAGGATTGGAAATCCGCCTTTACACTATACATACTGAATTTGCTTATTACAAACAATTTATAACGCTTGGAAAGCGATATTTCCATGTTTGTGTTCTTCACCTTATCTTGTTTTCTCTTTTCTTATCTCATTTAGCACTTAGCAGTAAGGGACCGATCAATAATTACAGGGGAGGGGGAGGGCCCTGGTGGAAATGAAAAATTGGATGCAAAAATTTTGTCCCCGCCTTGAGGATACCCCCTTGAGGATTCCGAAATCCGTGCGAATCTGTGAGATATTAAGAGCGACTGTCCGTAAAAATCGAGCAAAATTTGAATTCTGCGGCAATACACGAAAAATAGATTTCTTTAATATTTTGTTTAAATTTAGATAATACCTAGTTATAAATGGTGTTTGTGTTAGATTTTCAATATTTGGTCGATAAACGTACAAATATCAGAAATCAAGAATTTGTCTCCGGAAGGCTATAATTAGCCGCAGACAACGCCGTTGCCATGGTCAATTTCATCACTTCGTGACGGATTCAAAACTGCCCGTAGATAGTTTTGATGGTTTAATTAGTATAATTCAAGTATTAAAGAACACTGTTATCAATATAGAATGGTTCAGGAGGCTTTAACTGGCCTGACAGACGTCGTTGAAATTGACTATTTTTAGTCAAATTTTAGAATTGTATTTTGTGGCTGGATTTGAAGGGGAAATTTACTATGTGCGATAATCGTGAATTTGTTTATATTTCATCCACGGAATGGTATAGTATGAGTACATGTTATATATAAAAATTAGCTTGGGTTATTGCCTTGGAGCCTCACACGAGACTTTTAAAAAAGCTCATTTTGGTGATTTCCAGTGGAATGTAACACAATTAAATCATTAGGTCTATACGTCTATACAAAGTCACGAAGCTCAAATTGTTCAAAACTTTGAATTTTTGTGTTTCGATATCCAATGTATATGCTTTGTATACTTTATAAAGAAGCGTTTAGAAGGATTTTCAAGATATTTTAGTGATAGGCATATATATATATATATATATATATATATATATATATATATATATATATATATATATATATATATATATATATATATATATATATATATATATTAGATATATTACAACAAAAGCACAACAAATCATCATATTATATTACTAGACTGTAACGTTGCTGTTTATAGCAATTTGCGTGTTGTTATGTCTCAATCAATTCCATGGTTGCCCATCCCCCGCCCCCGGGCGTTTGTCGGGCATTCTCAACTGTACTTGTTCCCAGGGTCGGGCATTTGCTTTCTGCAGGTTAGCCCCGGGGTGGGGAATTTGCTCCAGGCTAAAAAGTCGAATATTTATCGCTTGTTTCGCATGTTTACACGTGCGTGCATATCGCAAATTTATCATGGCGGACACACACTCGTACACAAGACTTTTTTCTTGTCCATCCTGTTGATACATTGACCGCAGTTTGTCCGCAGTTTGATATTGCTATATAAAGTTTTGAGACTTCAATATTTTAATTAAAAACGTTTTGAAACGAAATGGCTACAGCATCGATTTTAAATAAAGATATATTGATACGTGATAGAGCTTGGATTCGATTTTTTGGATCTGAAATCCTCAGAAAACTTATATTTTGTCCCCCAAGGGTGGGGCATTTGCGTCAATGTAAGTCCCCAAGGGTTGGGATTTTGTTGCATTATTTGGACTCCATACTGGGGCATTTGCAACATTTTTTCGCCAAAATGACAAAAGCCCGACAAACGCCGGGGGGGGGGGCGGTACGCATGAAATTCATTGAGACATTACTGAATGTATATTTAATATGTCTGTCTGTAAGCTTTTGAAGTCTTATAATTTCTCATATTTGTTTAAAGGTGATCTACAGGCCGTAAGTAAACAAAGCCTTTGTTTACATTTTTGTGTCCAAAATATTGAGCTTTATTCAACAACTATTTATATTTTCAAGCTTAATTCTAGAGTATAATAAATGATCAAGAAACAACAATCAGGCTTTTCAAGAACTCAAAACATAGTTAAACTGTTTGTATCATAAAAAGTGGGCTCATTTGTGCACATGCGCATGTAGCGGATTGACTAATAAGTTATTATTATTGTCTTTATTAGGGTCCACTACAGCATATGCACAAATTCTAATTATAAAGTCTAATTATTCGGAGACCCTAAATGGGCGAGGCGCAAACGGGACTCGAAGAACCATGCGAGGCACCTGCCCAAACTTAGTAAAAATTTACTGTTCTAATTGAAAATCTATATACTGTTCTAGTAAACCTCGGAGGTGCATACGCCTCATAAAAATCGAGGGTTAGTAAATCCCCCAGTTGCTTCCCACAATGCATTGTATTCCTATTTAATGAACGAACTGCGGGAAACAACTGGTACAAATCGTAAAATGCACCCACTCAAGGTTTACAAACTATATTATGTTGTGTTATGTTTATATCATATATTATATAATGGTATTCTTAAGTTAAACGTTTATTATTACATAATGTTAATAAACAGTTAGGACCTGTGGCAAAGACAGTCCCGAGTCAAAGACCACGTGCAAGACACGTCTGTGTCGTAAATAGAGTTAACTAAGTTTGAATATTTTTGCTTGAGATAACATTTAAAAGAACTAGGTCTAGAGAAACTGTCAAGAGATACTTCTTGAGATACAGTGTTCCAGATATTGACAATACGGTTGTAGTAGGAGGATTGAAAAGTGGTAGTTTTACACAGTAGGTTTTGAAGGATATACTCAGAGGAAAGACTCAATCGAGTACGACCATGGCTGACAAACGACACATAGTTACTCAAGTTCACGTTTATAAAACCAAATAAAGCTTTATAAAAGAATGTTAAGTCCTTCATTTCTCTATCGTAACTTAATGGTAGCAGGTTTAACGACGACAGCCGTTCTTTGTAAGGCATCTCTCTGTTCATTAGTATCCACTTGGTTGCCCTCCGTTGGACTTTCTCTACTTGTCTTGATAGCTGAACGTTGTTAACCGGTGACCACACCTCCGAAGCATACAACAACTGGGACTTCACAAGTGACAGATACAAAGTTCGCCGGGTGTTCATGTCTGTAATACTAGTACAGGTTCTTTTAAGTATACCTAACATTTTGTTGGCCTTCGCAACAATGGTGTTTATGTGTAGTTTCCATGAGAGTTTTGTAGTAGTCGTAATACCAAGGTCCTTTTCATGGTCAACCCGAGTTAGCTTTTCGGTCCCAAGGGTGTATTCGTAGATGAAAGGCGTTTTCTTTCGTGTGACGGTGAGGACTTTACACTTAGAGGCATTGAAGAAGAGATTGTTTTCCATACTCCACAGATCTAACTTGACCAATAAATGTTGTAAGCTTTCACAGTCACGAGTCGAGATAATATGTCTGTGAATTTTCGTATCGTCCGCGAACAGGGCAATTTCAGTTCCGTTATGTATGATGTCTGGGAGATCGTTAATGAATATAATGAACAAAACTGGTCCAAGAATGCTTCCCTGAGGCACACCTGAAGTGACTGATGACCATGCAGAAGCTACTCCATCCACAACAACTCTCTGAGTCCTACCGTTTAAATAGTCAGCGAACCAATCAAGAACAGATCCTGTCACGCCGTACCAACGCAGCTTATCCAGCAAGATATTATGGTCAACGGAGTCAAACGCTTTGGCGAAGTCCAGGTACAAGACATCAGTCTGAGTATTCTTATCTAGATCTTGCCCGATAGAGTGGAAAGCTGACAGGAGTTGGGTGACACACGAGCGATTACTCAGAAAACCGTGTTGAGATGGACTGATAAGGTTCACAACATGGTCATAAAATCTCCAGTAAATGCACCGTTCTAAGGTCTTACTAATGATGGGCAATAGCGAGATTGGTCTGTAGTTCACAGCTGGTTCTTTGGAATTCTTCTTGTGCACTGGAGTAACATCTGCTGATTTCCACTCAGAAGGAATATGTCCAGATCTTAGTGAATGGTTGTAAAGAGTGCAAAGGCTTGGAGCGATTTGATGACTACATTCTTTCAGAAGGCGGGCAGGAATTCCATCAGGGCCACTAGCTTTTGAGACATTCAGATTCAATAGACTGTTTACAACTTCTTCGACATCGAACGTGATCTCACTTAGTTGTGAATCGGTTGGTAGTCGAGAATTGCGGGAGTTAGTAGCTTGATTAGTCGTTGAAGGTTGGAAAACTGACTAGAAGTAGGAGTTAAAAAGTTCGGCTTTCTCAATAGGTGTTTTTGCCACAATGCCGTTATGCGAAATGACAGCGTTTTGAGTTGACCGGTGATGAAAAACAGCTTTATGATAGCTCCAGAACAGTTTCGGGTTGCTGCGGAAAGACTCCTTAATCTTAAGTAAGTAGTCACGATGTTTCGTTCGAACTAGATATTTGATAGTTTGACTTATTTCACGCAGCTTTCGCTTACGATAGTCAGTTCGAGTTAATTAGTAATAGGCGTTTATTTTGACATATTTAGGAAGTGACATATGATACACTAGATTGATTATTGTTTTGACGAGACGGCGTTTTTATATATTTTTATTAAACGAGGGTTCTTTATAGCGAAGCAAATTCGCTATTGTAAATTACAGATTAATTACATAAAACGAAACTGTGTACGACTCATTTAATTTTTTGTAGTTGCCAAACACTTTGTGAGGCACTCTGCTACACGCAGATCGGACTGTAGACCACCTTTAATGATTTCTTTGCATACAGTATGTAAACTAATAGAATTAAAGCTAGATAAATACAATAAAAGTACATGAGTTGGAACATGTATATGTTTACACTTTACGCTAGACATTTTGCTGGACTCTCCTGTTACGAAACTAACAAACAGGTGACCCTCTTCTACATATGCTACAAATAAGAAAAAGATATATGTACATGAGCAGAATAAAAACTGTCAAAAACTCAAAATGGAAGCGACAAGCAGCGACTTCGATGTTTTGCCTTTCCTATGAAAATGCAAAAACTAGAAATAATTATAGTCTACGTATGCAAGAAGTAAACAAGTAGTTTATGCAAGAAAATAAACCAAAAGTGACTGTCGTTTATATTTCATCCACGGAATGCTATAGCATGGATACATGTTGTATACAAAAACTGACTTGGGTTATTGCCGTGGGGCCTCACGCAAGACTTTTAAAAAAGATTCTTTGTAAATGATGTGCTACACTTCGTGGAAATTAACGTAATCTTGATTGATTGATTCTAGTTTAATTTTCTGTAGAGATTTTGTTTTGCTCAAAAATACAGCTTCAATGATGAAGAATGACTGTAACAGTTCATTCATATTCAATTTATCTCGATTTTTAAAAATATTTTGACGTTGTGATGTCACGGCCGTGAGATCCTGTCAAGAAAGTCTGATATCTTTGATGATAACTTAATAGAATTTAGTCAAAATTGGCATGTTTAATGGGTGCACCTGCAAGTGAACAGTTCGGATTATTTATGTTTTGTCATAACAAATAATTAGTCCCCACTCTTTACTTGTTTAGCTTCTCTTCTTTTTTACAAATTCCTCCTGTAGACTTTAGTTTACTCGTTTCAATGGTTTACAATTATCACAACACCTATGAATACTAGGCCATCGTAATAAGCGGGAATTGCAGAAATTGGTTTTTATTTCGCTGGAAATGGTGGAAATGAACACCGCGGGAAAACATCTGCTCATGCCAAATTGTAAACTTTTAACTGAAAACATTGCAGCTATTTAATTATTTAAGGTAATTGATACAAACAAAAAAATACATTAGACGGGTAGTTTAGATATTAATAAAAAGTTTTCTAACATTAAAAATCTAAAAAGAAACAGAATTTAAATTAAAAATTACCGTTTAAATTAAGACCAGAAGGCGTGTGAACATTTCTTAAAGAATTGTCGAATACCAAACTTATGAACCTACGAAAAATATCTTTGTATGGTTCAGTTAAAGAACGTTTTATACAATAAATTTATCGACAGTCACTTTTGGTTTATTTTCTTGCATAAACTACTTCTTGCATATGTAGACTATATAATTATTTCTAGTTTTTAGGTTGTCACGTTCATTATTCCGCTTGCATTTTCATAGGAAAGGCAAAACATCGAAGTCGCTCCTTGTCGCTTCCATTTTGAGTTTTTGACAGTTTTTATTTTGCTCATGTACATATTATATCTTTTTCTTATTTGTAGCATATGTAGAAGAGGGTCACCTGTTTGTTAGTTTCGTAACAGGAGAGTCCAGCAAAATGTCTAGCGTAAAGTGTAAACATATACATGTTCCAACTCATGTACTTTTATTGTATTTACCTAGCTTTAATTCTATTAGTTTACATACTGTATGCAGAGAAAGCATTAAACAAATGTGAGAAATTATAAGACTTCAAAAGCTTACAGACAGACATATTAAATATACATTCAGTAACAACACGCAAATTGCTATAAATAGCAACGTTACAGTCTAGTAATATAATATGATGATTTGTTGTGCTTTTGTTGTAAGTAGGTCTTCATAAAATATCTTGAAAATCCTTCTAAACGTTTCTTTATAAAGTATACAAAGCATATACATTGATATCGAAACACAAAATTCAAAGTTTTGAACAATTTGAGCTTCGTGACTTTGTATAGACGTATAGGCCTAATGATTTAATTGTGTTACATTTCATTGGAAGTCACCAAAATGAGCTTTTTTAAACGTCTCGTGTGAGGCTCCAAGGCAATAACCCAAGCTAGTTTTTATATATAACATGTACTCATGCTATACCATTCCGTGGTTGAAATGTAAACAAATTTACGATTATCGCACATAGTAAATTTCCCCTTCAAATCCAGTGACAAAATGCAATTCTCAAATTTGACTAAATATAGCCAATTTCAACGACGTCTGTCAGGCCAGTTAAAGCCTCCTGGACCATTCTATATTGATAACAGTGTTCTTTAATACTTGAATTATAGTCATTAAACTATCAGAACTATCTACGGGCAGTTTTGAATCCGTCGCGAAGTGATGAAATTGACCATGGCAACAGCTTTGTCTGCAGCTAATTATAGCCTTCCGGAGACAAATTCTTGATTTCTGATATTTGTACGTTTATCGACCAAATATTGAATATCTAACCCAAACACCATTTATAACTAGGTATTACCTAAATTTAAGCAAAATATGAAAGAAATCTATTTTTCATCTATTGCCACTGTTTGCTCGATTTTTACGGACAGTCGCTCTTAACAAGCTGTGAGCTCACCGTGAGGTTTTAGTTAAATCTGTGATGTTCACGGTGGATCCGTGAGAGTTGGCAACTATGCCCTAGGTTACATGTATCGTAATTTATATATTCTTTACCATTTATTGAGTCAACGGCTGTTCCAATCTACATGTTTATGTTGAAATCAGTTTAATAAATGGTGTTGTGTTGGAGTTTACTACAGTTCTACTGCTCTCTATTTTTTATATGTAGGTTTTATGGTATGACGCTAGGATCCGGTCATGCGGGGCAGGTAGGCCTATTATATTGCACAAAAATGTTTGGCCCCCCTTTTTTCATGCACAAAAATATCTGACCCCCCTCGTTTTCCCCCCATCCCCTGTAATTAATGACCGGTCCCTAAAATGAACATTGTAATTCCACGCCTGAAAACGTTTATTTCATGCGTTAGAGCGAATAAATTTCATCACTGTTGTTGTCCATCAGTTTGGTATAATTTAAACAGGGTTTCCAGTGTTGATTTTTTGTCCGAATATGGTTTGGCCGTAAGGTAATTGGCATGGACACATGGCGTCAAAAGGTCGGCAACTACCAAATATGGCTATGCTTTGCATGCTATTTCATGGTCATGGGTTAATTAAATGTACTGTTGCCTGCCAAAAAGCTTGGCACACAATACAATGTTATGTATGTTGCATTGATAAAGCATGCAGCGTAACCAGGGGCAAGTCAGTGGGATTGAAGCATGTGCATGGAAAATGTTTTATCATTACCATTGGTCATGCTTTTGTTATGTTAGGCATGTGTCGCGAATGCATCAAAGACAATGTCCTCAACTCTACAGGCTGTATAAAAAAATTTGAATGCTTTTTTAATTGAACATATGCTGAACCGTAGTGCGTGAAATATTGATGGAGTGCATTTATTGGAAAAAGAGACCTTTAAAAATCAACCATCGTTATAATTTGAATCCTGGAGCACTTTGCTAAGCCCATGAGTGCGTAACATGCGATTTACGTACAATACGCATGGCGGTGTTTAAAACCTGGCGCACAAGAGAGCTATCAGCTGAGGTGATCGAATGTTCAATATGTGAAATTGTTTACATTGGGGAGACCGGGCGAACAATTGGATCACGGATCAAGGAACACTTGACAATGGAAAAGCAGACGGTTTATAAACATTTGGAATCCCACAATAAAATCAAAGTTACCTACAATAAAGTGGAAGATTTTACATGTTAATATCGTAAACGACGGGGAGAGGAAATACGTCGAAGCATTTGAAATACAAAAACATTCTGGAGACTTGATGGACGGTTGTACTGGTAGAACAATTAGTGTTTGAACTATTTTAATCTATTAACATTGTATAGTACTTTAAACTACGGGACAGTAAATCAGTTGCATGTTTGAATTATTTTAATCTATTAACATTATATAGTATTTTAAACTACAGGACAATAAATCAATTGCATGTTTTGCATATTTTTACATACATTAGCATGCGCATTGTAAGTTTAGTATTTTAATTAGTTTCATATAAATAGAAGGAAATATTATTGTAAAAAACATTCCACTGAAGAAGCCGTAAAAGGCGAAACGTTTGGAAAATATACTTTGTGTATTTTTATGTCTGAAGAAATCTTATAGCCAAGTTCATACACTATCCAGACATGGTACCTCACACCCATTCACACACACACACACATATATATATATATATATATATATATATATATATATATATATATATATATATATATATATATATATATATATATATATATATATATATATATATATATGAACTTGGCTTTTAAGATTTCTTCAGACATAAAAATACACAAAGTATATCTTCCAAACGTTTCGCCTTTTACGGCTTCTTCAGTGGAATGTTTTTTACAATAATATTTCCTCCTATTTATATAAAACTAATTAAAATACTAAATGTACAATGAGTATGCTCATGTACATAAAAATATGCAAAACATGCAATTGATTTATTGTCCTGTAGTTTAAAATACAATAAATCAATTGCATGTTTTGCATATTTTTATATACATGAGCATACTCATTGTACATTTAGTATTTTAATTAGTTTTATGCAAATAGGAGGAAATATTTTTGTAAAAAGCATTCCACTGACGAAGCCGTAAAAGGAGAAACGTTTGGAAAATATACTTTGTGTATTTTTATGTCTGAAGAAATCTTAAAGCCAAGTTCATACACTATCCAGACATGGTACCTCACACCCATTCATATATATATATATATATATATATATATATATATATATATATATATATATATATATATATATATATATATATATATATATATATATATATATATATATATATATACATATAGTACAATCTGCAGACATGCATGTTTCGGCGTCGTACGTCTCATCAGTGGAGCTTGGTACACATCTAGACACGCAATGACCTTCGTATTGATATACATGACACTTGCTCTCCCAAGCGCATGTGGTACAACAGGAGCCATATATATATAGAGCCATATATATATATATATATATATATATATATATATATATATATATATATATATATATATATATATATATATATATATATATATATATATATATATATATATAAATATATAAATATATATATATAAATATATAAAAGTGACAAAGTAAGTCATATCTCGAATACGCATGCGTACTACATGTCGTAGTTTGAAAGCAGCGTAAAGAGCCGTGAACGGACTATGACAGTGTGTCCTGCTCACATTAGCAACTGTGGACAGCTGTTTCGCCCTTTTGGGGCTCGTCAGCACAGTCATAGAATAAAGATCCATATAGAAGGGCCACTTACGTCGGAAGCTTTGAAGTTTCTGTCCTCGCGCATGTCGCATTACGCATGTTGGCCGCCATCTTCCTAGCCAGTCAATGACATTTTCTGGCCAATAAACACGCTGTACTGGCTGGCTGCTCCGCCTTCTGGCCAGTAAACTGCATATTTTGCATAAAAAAAACGAGGACACGTTGCAACGCTGAGTGGCCCTTCTGTTACTGATCTTTATTCTGTGTACTGAACCCTCGGCCAAAAATACTATGTTCTTGTCATAAATCACGTGAGACAATAACAGTCAACGACAGAAAAGAAGATTACAAACTTTACACTTACAATATGTTCAAGTCCATAATCTGCCTGAGCGACCGACGTTCCACTGAATGTGTTTGTTTCGGCGAAGTCTGCCCCAGCTTCTAGATATTCCTACAATTACACGGAAAATATTCTAAATACTAACAGACCACGTTAGATTTGAAGCTGCACATGCATCTCCGAGATAACTTCATCCAGCCATTTCCCCAAATGCTTGTATGATGCCCCCCCCCCCCCACCACCACCACAACCCAGGATATCAAATGGCCCACCCGTAAACAGTTTTCAATATACTATATATGAAGCAGATAGGGTAGGGGAGAAGGGCCATGTGTTTTTTTACACAAAGCATGTAAACGTGTCAGGTATAGGGTTATCCTACCAAGCGGGTCATGTTTTATTCCGCCCTTTTGATACAATAACACACAAAGTAAAAGACCACAACATTGAAATGCAGCAAGCAAAGTCCAAGACATAAAATTATATAACTTGCCGCTAAAACGTCGCGTTTAGGCGCCATTTTCAAATAGAGCAAGCTTGGCGACCACGCATAGGTAGGGTTACCCTGTCTAGGCAACATAGCCCTAGTGGTAGGGTAACCTATCTCATGTAAACATTCGCTATTTTTTGACACTCTTGGTAGGGTAATCCTAGTGGTAGAGTTACCTTATCTCCATGTAAACACGCCCCAAGAGAGATACAACTACTGTGGATTCGGTGGCGAAGTGGTTAGCGCACTTGCCTTTCACCTCTAAGGCCGCAGGTTCAAATCTCAGTGAGAACTTCTCAATGTGACTCGAACCCAGTCCTCATGTGAAAAGAGTAAAAAGTCAACGCTCTGCCGAAAGTCGTGGGTTTTCTCCGGGTACTCCGTGTTTCCTCCCACAGGGAAAGTTGGGAAAGTTGACAGGGTGGGTTAGGCACATAGGTCTGAGGCAGATCATTAATGAGGTATAGACTAATAGCGGCTGCCCAAGCGCCATTTGTAAGCTCAAAGTCTACCTCGGTCTGCTTCACGTCAGTCCGGTTCTATCTACCTATTCAAAATGTAACCAGTCACTGAAAAGCCCTGATAGGGAGTGTGCTGTGAAATATCTGTAATCTGCAACTACCTGAGGAATACAAGCAGAACCTAACTTCTCGACGAAGGGCCTTCGCTCGAAACATCGACTTTCTGCTTGTATTCCGCAGGTAGTTGTGTTTCTCTCAATCCGCCAATCTCGTTCCCCGAGCCTGCGATCCTCGGGAAGGAACGCGAGGCTCTGGGATAATCCGTTGCCGGAAGCCAGGAATCCTGGCTAAGATTGAACTACGCATACCATTTCAACGGCCAATCAGATTCCTCCCTGAAACGGATTATCCCAGAGCCTCGCGTTCCTTCCCGAGGATCGCAGGCTCGGGGAACGAGATTGTCAATCCGCATCCTTGTTACAATAATAGGGAGCTTTAGATTTGACTACGAGTACGACTACGAGATTCGTCAAGCGAAACGCATGCTGTATGCTTACGCCATCCCGTACTGACGCGAAAAAGTCGTAGCCATCGCCCATCTGAGTACGAAATTGTGAAGAAATCTCGTAGTCCTCACGACGACTTTTCAAAAAAACGAAGAAAGTTTTTTTTGTTTTCCAAAAATGATTTGTAGCATTCATATAGCATTTATCTGGCGCAAATAAAATATTAGTACTAAATATCTGGCCTGTTTTTAATGTTATGACTTATTTACACGTTTTGTAGGGGATTTTAGTCTGCAGGAGATTTAGTTTATGAAACTTTTTCTCTTGTTGTTGGTTTACTGCTATAAAAGCAACATTTGAATGGAAACAAAAACGACTACGGTAATTTCCTCGCACGCGATCAAATCTCGTACTCGTAGTCAAATCTAAAGCTCCCTAATATACTAGGCACGGTTAACCTACCTTATGAATTTGAAAAATAATGTCTGGCTGTGTGATAGAAAGTAGGTCATTGTTTCCCCTTAGAGGTTTTGGATGTTGCTTAAATTCGTTTCCTAGAAGAGAATGAACATATATGTAAGTAAATGTGAAAAGAAACGCCTTGCCTAGTGAAATACTCCCGATGTATTACAATAAGTATGCACTTGAAAAATTGTTGACAAGAATCTAGTGGGGCGGATAAGCGCACAATTTTGCAATAATTGTGCAGTTAGTGAAGAAAGCGCCATATTGACAGTATGTGTAGACTTTGACACAAGTATGAATATCAGATATGGAAGCATCTGTGAAATTAACGCTGATAGCTAAAAATGTTGAATTTCTGATATTTGAATATAAATTTCGATTACTGATAGAAATTTTAAAATTCCAAGGTAGCTCACACAAAAAATAAGTTGTATGGTTGAAAAGTACACAAAAAACTGTCTATAGAACATTAAAAAGCAGTTTTTTTGATTTGCCAAATCATGCAGTTTCGAAATCGCACAAAAGATAAAAATAAGTGCAAAGACTGGCACTAGCTTCAAATCGCCTTTTTAACAGGTTGCAGCTCAGAAAATATTTGGAAAATCAAAAATTGCTTTAATGTTCTATTGACAGTTTTTTTGTGTACGTTTCAACCATACACCTTATTTTTTCTGTGAGCTTCCTTGGAATTCTAAAATTTCTATCAGTAATAGATTTTTTGCAAATTTTGTGCTATTAGCGTTAATTTCACATATACCTCCATATCTGATATTCATACTTGTGTCAAATTCTACACATCCTGTCAATATTGTGCTTTCTTCACAAAATGCACAATCCGCCCCACTGACTAAATCTTAGATGTAACAATTAAAATGTTTATGACACGAAATGTCACCCAATCTTTTCTTGATTGCATTGCAAAGATTGATGGCATTTTTGTTTTAACAGCTTTTATTATTAACATGACAAAATTACTGGATGCTGATTGGTTGAGAGGAGTACAATTATTTCATTAATTGTACTCATATAGGATTGTACTGCAGTACAATGATTTTCCCAAACCAAACAAAATGGCGGAAAGGTATTTTAACAAAATACAAATGTGAAATGAAATTGCCCTCGAGAAACTAGATGAAAATACGAACAAAAGCACCAAATTAATATTGCTTTAACAAAAGAACTAAATGAAAATACGAACAAAAGCCCCAAATTTTTGTTGATAGTCTGGCAGGACTGGGCTTTGGCGAAAGAATATGATGTTGACATTCAGAAGTATCCAATTTTGTCAAGCTAATAATAAACAAGTAATCATGCGATGTTGCTCGAACAATTAGGGATTAATAGTACTCGTGATGATTGGAAATTTGTCAAATTGGACTCGCCTCGGCGGCTCGTCCAATTTTGGCAAAATTTCCAAACATCACTCGTACTATTAATCCCTAATTGTACTCGCCATCGCATGATTACCTATACTAATTTAACAGCGTATAGATAACTTGACAATATTGTACATAACTAAAATAGATAATTACATTGAACAAGAATATGGAGAATAGTAACTATAGAAGGTGCCAAACGTGGCGAAACACAAACGAGACTAGGTCCCATGCATGGTGCTCACCACTAGATGAAATAGTATAGAAGTAGAGCAAGAAAAATATAGAATAGAAAAATGGAAGGTGAATGGAAAACTAGAAGCACAGAAGAGAGAAGTGGTAGAATGAATGACCTGGAAGATATTAGCGTGGTCAATGAGTTTGTACTTTAATAATTGGCCTGAATACATTAAGGTAGATCAGTATGTACCAGGACGAACTCTACGATCATCATCACAGATCCAACTTGACGGTGCCAACCGAAAGCGGAACATTTCAGGACAACGCTGCAGCTGCATTTAACTCATAGAATAGCCAATTCAATTTGGAATCGCTAGTAAATCATTATTATTATTAGTGAGCTAGGTAAGTTAGGAGTGTAGGCAGTACCAGTTTCGCACCTTTAAAGGTGCGAAATGAGCAGATTTAATTTTAATTTATTTAACTTTGCCAAGTAACATGCAACATTTAACAGTACTGATTTACAACAACATATAATATGTGTTCCATTGGCAGGGTGCAAGCAACAGTTTTCACCAATTACAGCGGCCCCATTAACTATACTAATACTATACAACGAACACAAATCTAATAACAACACGATATTTGACAGGACAGATTACGAGACTTGTTACAAGACAAACATATAGATTTCCATGTCCAAGGATCATCAGCGCTAACTTGTAATATTTAGAAAGTCCGCTTTTGAATTGTCCTAAACTAATGTTATTGCTTGTCAAACTTTTTGGTAGAACGTTCCATAATCTAGGTAATTTAAATACATAGTTCCATGGTTTTACATTCCTAACGAAGTAAGATAAATTCCCTCCGAGACATTCTATTCAATTTTGCAAATATCATCAGTATGAAATCACACTGTATATATATATAATGAGTGTTTATCTTGTGGGGTAACGATAACAAATATTTAAAATAGTGCTTATATATACTTCAACCATTAAGCCTCCCAATCTGTGTGTGGAATATTTTAACCAATTTCAAAATTAATGATGCTCTTCAAAAATCTCGTTATGCAGCGCGATGTCGTAGTGATTGATGCATGATAATGCCATTTTTAATACATGTAAACCGCGCTCGTCAAGCAAATTCTGCGCGCGACACGCAAATTACGCGCGAGGCACGCAAATTACGCGCGCGACCAATTAACCTAATTATCCAATTACATGACGCAACAATCGGAAATTGACGTTGTTTCCAAGCAACTATAATTTCGCACAAATTTTTCTCGAGAAGATGTTTTAAAATTGTGCGCTCTTGTGAAAAATGCTTTTATTTAAAGATTTAGCTATTAAAATATTATTTTCAATCGTTTGTCTATCCTCGATAGGCAACGATGATAAGTCGATGAACGCCGAACATGGGTTCGTGCCTTCGCACGCCACAAACAACAACATTGTGAGCGATGTTAACCAAGGACAAAGCAAGCTACAAAAATCCATCACTGATAGCTTTGCTGAAAGTTGTCCTTTTTATTTAAACACTTCTAAGCAGTGTTTTCCAACTTTAAAGAAGAACAACAGTTCGCATGAACTTTACAATCTGACAGAACAAGCAAAGAAACTGAATCTAACTGCCGAACGGGAAAATCTACGACTTTTCGGTAAGACGACAGAACTTTTTTTGCGAAACTTTTCTTGTTTTTTTTTCGATAAACTTTGTAAAAAAGTTTTGTTTAGTTTTCCGACTTTGTAAAAATGTTTGTTTCTTACTTAAGAGTTAAGAGGTCAAATTTTTGTTAAAAAAGTTTCTTTTAAACTTTTTTGTGCTTTGTCTACATTTAAAAGAAAACAATCCAGTTTTCTTCTGTACAACTTTACAAATATTTTGGTGATTCTTTTTTCGAAAGAATCAGGGTTTTTTTTAATTCTTTAATCCAACTTTCATAAACTGAAGATTTTGCATGTTTTTTCAACAATTTTTTATTGATTTTGTAAATTGGTAAATTTGTATTGGTTTTGTAACTTTTCTGTTTATATTTTAGCTGAAACATCAAGTGTTAACAACCAGACCAATGGCTTTAATAAAGCTCAGGCATTCTTTAAAGGTAAAATTCAATGTTCTTTTAACGCTGATTTAGGATCATAGTAGGAATTTTGCATAGGTAAATTCTACCAGGGTTCGTACACCTTCTCCCATTTAAAATTCCACGACTTTTCCATGACTTCCCATGAACATTTTTTTCAAAATCCATGACCTGAAAGTCTGGAATTTCTGAAATTCGTTAACATTTTAACGATAACAAATATAATAAAAGAACAAAATTCACTTCGCTCTTGTAAAAATCCATAATATAATAACAATTCATATTATTGTTACGACTGGTAAATTGAAATAAGTAAAATACTTTGTTAATGATATGTAAAATTTCAATTTTCCATGGCTTTCCATGACTAAAATTGATTTTCCAGGATTTCCAGGCCTGGATTTTGAAATATTGAAATTCCATGACTTTCCAGGTTTTCCAGGAACCGTACGAACCCTGTAATCTACGTTTCGAAGAACTGAACTGACTCAGTGTTAAGCACAAAGCCAGACATTTCTTACAAATCGTTCAAACCTAAGCAAAATTCCTACTGTGATCACAGAAACTTTGATAATGTAAACCAGCCTTTAATCATTCTGTTGAATGAACCCTACGGCTTTCTTGAAATGCTATGACTTAGAACGTAGCCCCGTAAGTCAACTACATGAAGTTTGCATGAACTGTATATCTATCAATGTATTTATGAATTATGACTGTAGTCTGTACTAATCCAATTTCGTCCCTCGCTACAGCACTAAGAAATTTCTTTCAAAAAACATTGCATTAAAAGGGTAATTGACACAGATATGAACGAGGATCACTTTTCAATTTTATAGAAGAACTTTGTTTCAAAGTGTAGAACCTAAGCAACACATAAAAAATAGTAACAGACATGAAAGTTACCATTACGTTTGACTTTGAGTCAAATGTTTGACTCCAATCCATTATTTGACCTTTTTCAAAGGGAAGTGTATGAATCTTCAGGGAATCTCATGGGACACCTCCCTACACCTCACTTCAAAATCAAGCCATGCTTCACAGATAAAAATGTTTGGTCTTCGTCCAATATTTTTACAGTTACTCTTACTCCTGAAATCTTCAGTTAACCATACTTTAAATCTGATCTAACCCTAACGAATATATAAAGGCATATCCTTGCCATGTCTCCAATACTCTAACACAAACCATTTTTTTCTCATAGCTACACACTCTTGCAATACAAGCTTCCGGAAACTACATCACCTTGGCTACAGAGCCTCGTTTATATACATGAGTGAGATATTAGGCTTTAACCAATGTCACATACGCAAAAACGAGGCCCTATAGCCAAAGTGGTGTAGTTTCCGGAACGGTGTGTTGTTATTATTAGTATGACATGATTTGTTCTATCTTTTAGAAAGTATCAATCACATATACAGCCTGACTGAAAGCCAAAAATCTTGGATTGCATTAAGCTACCTTCTTGCTCTCTGCAAATATTATGGAGCTACACCTCGGTAAGATATGGTGGTTTAGAAAAAAATATAGGTTTATCAGTAGACAGTACTAAGCTATTCTCCTGATACAGTAACGATCATTAATCTCTTATTGATATAATTACTAAAGGAAAATGCAGTACCTATCTCTGAGTACCTATCTCTGCCTAAATCTCGAGTGCTTAGGTCTAATCAGTACTCAGCTGCGAAAAAGGCAATTATAGGCCTTCTGGCGGGAATTAAACCTGCGGTCTGATGCAGCGCTCTAACCAACTGAGCTGTCCACATGTCGAGCTTCAACCACAAGTTCATGTCTACACGGCTAAAAACAATCAGGTTGTTGCAATGTTGATGAAAACACGATTGAACAATGCTTTGCTGCCCACATTGTTCACAGTTGTCAACAACATTGAACAATATTGTTACACCCGATTCAGGCTCAACAATATTGTTCAATAAAAGCAAAACATTGTCCAATCCTGTTAAACAGCTGGCTCAGCGTGTTTACGCCTGTATATACTACAGTGAAGCCAAGGTGGTCAGAGCTCGGGAAGTGGACTCTGTAGCTCAGTTGGTTAGAGGGCTGCACAGGTATCGCAGGGACGCAGGTTCAATTCCTACCCAAGGGCTGATAGTTGCATTCTTCACAGCTGCTCCTGGTTAGGTCTACATATGTATAGAATTTACACTCCAGATTCCATCTACAAAATCCTAGTATTGAGCCCAATACCCTGATATTTAATCAGACAATTGCATATGGCAGAATCAAACTCCAGTTGAAGAGGTAAACGACGTAAAAACGCGCAAGTTGTTACAAATCTGCAAACAAGTTCCAACAAGGTGATATCATAATGTGTTCGCATTGCTTGTTCCCAGTTGCTGTGACAAGTCAGGAACAAGTTGTTATCGCCTTGTTACAAGGTTGACAACGGTTTCAGACTTGCTACAAGCTTGTTGTCATCAAGTTGTCAACAAATTGTGCAGACGATATCAGACTTGTTGGTACAACTTGTTGCGAGTCTGTTGGCCTCATCAACCTTGTTACAAGATGATAACAACCTGTCGACAACGCTAGTAACTAACCACTTTGCCACCAACATCCCACTTATACGAGGGTTAAAGCCAGCTCATTTCTTATATTCTTTCTTTCTTTACTTTTCCTGTAGATCGATCATCTCCACACTTTTCTCCAAGCTGTTTGGTAAACCTAAGAGGGCACTACCTCCGAAATACAAGATCTCATTTACGGAAAGTGCTGATATACCCACAATTCCATCTGAGAGAACCATTGTTGTCCAGAATGACATTGCATGTGACGAGCACGTGAACACTGATGAACTAAGCACTAACTCATCATGCGATAGCCGCGTGGAAAGTGATGACGTAACCACAGACTCGTCATGTGACGAACACGTGAACACTGACAACGAAATCATTGACTTATCATGTGACAGTCTCATGAAAGCTGATGAGGAGGTTGCTGCCATAAATGACATATCATGTGTATATGATGAACATGTGAACACTGACAACGAAACCAGTGACTTATCATGTGATAGTCACATGAACAACAACGATGTAACCCCAGACCAAACATATGACAACCACGTGGACAGTGATGACGATAGCACTAAAACCAGTGTTGAAAATCTACCAGCGTTCATCAAAATTCCACCCAACAAACTTGAACTATGTGAAACCGAGTGTGGAGAGATCGGATTGATTGTTGATCCGGAATACTGGGACTGGTTAGATCTGCGAAACTCAAGTCAGGAGTCTTTGACTTCGGATGATGGTGGTACTGCTAGTACCGGTATAGAGTCAGGACAGAGTTATGATGTGGCCTGTGATGTAGATAGCGGAGCTTCTTCTCACAGTTCTTGTCATAGCCCTGTTCCTAAGGAGGTGGCATCCTGCTTGAGTTGTAGTTCTGATGGAGACCCAGTCACGGTGAACAGTGATGGTGGTGATTTTGACAGTTTCAACCATACACCATCAGGATATAGTGCTTATGATGAGTTGTTTGACTATGATGATATAAACTCTGGCAATTATGGCGATGGTGATTTCTACCTAACACAATCTATCTGCAATGACCATGAAGAGAGACCAGAATGGATTCTGGAATATGGTGATTTAGACAGTTACAACCATACACCATCCAATGGTTGTAGCAGCAGTGTTAATTATGGTGATGAATCTCTCAACAATAGCTTGGACGATTGTGGCGTGATCCGTGAAGGTTACGAAGAGTTAACCAGTGCTTTCAGTGTAGCTCTCAGCAAATTTGTTAACCACCTAGGTTGGTATTCACTTTATTTAACCACACTATCCTAGTACCATTACCCAAAACCTGACTAATTAACTAACTAACTAACTAACTAACTAACTAACTAACTAACTAACTAACTAACTAACTAACTAACTAACTAACTAACTAACTAACTAACTAACTTAACTAACTTAACTAACTTAACTAACTTAACTAACTTAACTAACTTAACTAACTTAACTAACTTAACTAACTAAACTAACTTAACTAACTTAACTAACTTAACTAACTTAACTAACTTAACTAACTTAACTAACTTAACTGACTTAACTAACTAACTTAACTAACTTAACTAACTTAACTAACTAACTTAACTAACTAACTTAACCAACTAACTTAATTAACTAACTAACTTAGTAAGTTAGTTATTTTAGTATTTTGTTGGTTATAAAGTTAGTTATCGTAGTTAATAGTTAGTGACTGATAAACTAAGTTACTAATTAACTGTTTGTATAATTAATCCTCAATCTTCTCTTCTCTAGATGAATGTTCTGAACATGGCAGCACTTTACAACGATCAGTTTCTGAAAGTGACATTAATTTCGAAGTTGAAAACAATATACAACTCGACAATCAAGTCGACATTGCAGACGAAATCAAACTCGTCCAAGAAGACACTATGGAACAACGTGTGAAAAACCACGTTGTTGCTACAGCCATCTTTGCTGGGACATTTGTACTGCCTTGTATTATTGCGGCCAAACTCTTGAAATAAGGGACTTATATATTTTATACTACTTTTAATAACCTCTCTAACTTATCAAAGGCGAGGTGGGGGGGGGGGGTCAGGACTTCTCTTATAATACATTTAAAGTAAAAACTTATTGAGTAATTCCGTATATTTATAATGTGTAATCATCTGTATATCTGTGGTGCGGGCCGCAATGAGAAATATAATATTGGAAATTTTAAAATATATTTGTTTTGTGTGACTTTGTCTTGGATCCACACTGGGCCCTGGTCAAGTAAGGATGAAGGTTGATGAGAGTTGGATGGACTTTGCCAGACGTCAGTAGCATAAATAAACTCTCATCAACTCTCATCAAACCTGGAATCAGTTCAAAAGTCGATGAGAATAGACCTTTCTCGTGACGTCAAACGCGGATAAACACCAGGGGCCGGTTGTTCAAAGCTGGGCTAGTCTAACCATAGGTTAACCTAAAATTCAAAGCAAACTTATACATAAACTTGGAAACATTTCTTCAGAGATCTTGTCTGGATCGATAGGAGTTTACTTCTCTGAAGTTTTGAAATAAACAGACGTGCAGAAACAAACACACACACAAAAAGTTTAAAAGAATATCTATTTACTCCTTAGTATTATCCTATCGTGAATATAGATGTGTTCGTTTGTCTGTGTATGTATATCTGTGTATGTTACTTGTGCAGGTGATTTGTGTATGTTACTTTTGAGTATTTAAAACTTATTGATCAGTCTTTTTCATGCATGAATTATTTATTATTGTCAGAGCGGTAGTGTCAATTCCATATTTTAAACGAGCTTCGCTAAATGAGGCTTCGGTCTTATCAGAATGTAAAAGGTAGTCCAAACTCTATAAGCCTTTCGGTTTCTTTTGGGCTTCCTTGCTTTTTATAATTCCTTGTATATTTTCTATACTGTTATTTTTTGTGGCTAAAATATATTTGATTTGATTTGATAAAACAGCGGGTTAAATTTTAACCCAGGGTTAGCACTAACCCACCTTTGAACAACCGGCCCCTGAGGCCAGTTGTTGAAAGTTGGATTAGTGCTAACTCTCGGTTAAAATTGAACCTGTTATTCTAGTTTATGTATTTCTGCACGTCTGTTTATTTCAAAACTTCAGAGAAGAAAACTCCTGCTGATCCTGACAAGATTTCTGAAGAAATATTTCCAAATTTATAGACAAGCTGTTGGGAAATCTGCTTTGAATTTTAGGTTATCCTAGGATTAAGCTGATTCCGCTTTGAACAAGTGACCCCAGTGATCTTTCTCTCTCTATATATATATATATATTTGTGAAACTCGTTATTAAAGTGCATATAACATGAATATGATTATTTTCTTGAATGAAAGAACTCTTTAAGCTGTAGTGTAACTTATTTTTCAGTTTCTTGATTTTGTGGTTTGTTCCCGTGATATTTCAATTTGTTTGATATGTAAATGAGTGTGAATATGTCCGCTAATTTATGACGTCACTTTGGTTGCAAGCTCTTCGAAATGGTTCAATATCACTGCTATCATCCAAGACGATAATTTCAAACTTCACTCACTGGTAAATGTGATGAAACACTGGAGAAAAACGTGAACTGATATCTACAGTTTTTAGAGTTAATAGATTTATACAGTAGCTAGTGTAAGTTGAGCTTGCAACCAAAATGACGTCATAAATTAGCGGACATATTCACACTCATTTACATATCAAACAAATTTAAATATCTCGGGAACAAACCACAAAAACAAGAAACTGAAAAATAAGTTACTCTATAGCTTAAAGGTGATCTACAGTCCGATCTGCGCATGTGCACAAAGGAGCCCACTTTTTTATGATACAAACAGTTTAACTATGTTTTGGGTTCTTGAAAAGCCTGATTATTGTTTCATGATCATTTATTATACTCTAGAAGCTTGAAAATATAAATAGTTGTCGAATAAAGCTCAATAATTTGGACACAAAAATGTAAACAAAGGCTTTGTTTAGACACGGACTGTAAAGCACCTTTACAGAGTTCTTTCATTCAAGAAAATAATCATATCCATGTCATATGCACTTTTATAATGTCGCGTATTTGCGATGAAAATCAAAACCTAAAATCTTTTTGGCGTTTGTTTTAGCTTTATTTTGCAGTTTACACGGTTAGCAACCTTTTTAAATGTATCTGACGGTCGAGAAACACAAAATAATATAGTTACATATTTTCAATTTGAATACAATCATCATTGATGCTGTAAAATGATGCCATATTTATACAGCAATACAAGCAAAACTTACGGCTGAAATTCAGACACGAAATCATGAGCGTGAAACAGAATCATGCTGATTTATACATAAACTTTAAGTTCAATTTTCTCACCAAATATCATTCATTTATTTTAAATTGTTGAAGAATACGAGACGTTTCACAAGCTATATATATTTAAAATACTCATTAATAATTCATAAACCTTGTGGCAAATCATGTCAGCCATAATATGTCACGTGGAGTGACTTTATATTTGATAAAGCATGTGGCATTATATAATTGTTCATCCTAATGAGTATGATTATATCATGGTTCATCCTAATTAGTATTATTTTGTAGTCGTATTTTAAGCTATTCAAAACACTCGTTGTCGTGTTTTATCAGGTGTAAAGCCACTCGCGCTGCGCGCTCGTGGCTTTAAACCTAATAAAACACTCCTGCTCGTTTATTAAACAGTACATAAATCATGAGTGGCCGTGTTGCATCAGATATGCAACCTCTAGGCTCTCGCCTCTCGCTCGAGTTTGTATATCCAACATGACAACACGGCCGCGCTCATGTTGTAGCAAGAACTTCGACAGTCCGGTAGGTCTGTGAGAAAAGTGAAATGAAGATGGTGGCCATTAACGTCCAATAGCTACTGTGTGTGGCACCTGCGAAGGAGGCTATGTGTGCGTGAAGGTCGTAAAAAAGTTTTAATACCATTTTCCCCAATTCGTAAAACCATAGTTTTGTTTGTGGAAACACCACGTAAATTTATGTATACAGTAATAAATTTACGTGGTGTTTCCACAAACAAACAAAACTATTATATGTTTTATCGCCATGCAAACGTACAAAGAGCTTATCATAGTATTACTCTTTAAATAGAGGTCAAGATACGGAAATTTCGGCACACTCCTTGTGGCTTCGTGTTAACTGCGCAGACAAAAACATTAGGAAACGGACGTTCAATAGCTCCTACATGGGCATAGATATAGAAGATCTCCTATATCTATGCTCCTGGACTCGAGTTCTTACTCCAGATAGCTATATAAGGAGCTCACTGTCCCCAGCTTTCTCTGCCAAACGAAGCACGCGCGTGCAACACACGTGTGGCAATTACAATCAATTAGTGACGTAACAAACATCAAATTTGTTAGCTCATTGAAAATTAACGAGAACTAGATTGAGGAAAGCAAGAAGAAAGTTTTAAAACAACTTCTAACAAATTACAAATGAATCCGTACGATTCGGTTGACAAAAGACTATGCGCTTTAGCAGAATGGTTAAAGTCAAACGCGACAAATACTCAAGAAACTTCTAATGTGGACATTAACAGCAACAAACTATACCAAAACCACGCTTCGTACTTTCACCATCCTTATGTGAACTTTAGTGGACAATTTGCAAATAATAATGGGTTTGGTAAGAAAAGGAATTAATTGTTTGAAAATAAATTTAAAATTAGTTCATTATTACAATTACCAAGTTAGCTACAATGAAAGTAAAACTGATCGGAAGTCTGTGACGCATGCTGATAGGTAAATGCAGTACAGCAGTCCATTTACAATTTTATTACTACCTATATCCAGTGTTTATTGAATGCTTGGCAACTTTTATAATTATCCTAATTTAAAACTGGTTGACACCCACTGAAAACATTTTAATTTGTTAAGTAAACGAGAGATCAGCTCACAAAAACGTTAATAAAGTTAACCGTTTTAACTCTTAACGCTAACGCTAAAGTTTTAATAAAGTTAACCGTTGTTTCACTGTGGTCATTATATACTGCATATAAAACAATTCCCAAATGGTTTTCCGTACAGGGTAACGTCTTCCATGCACTTGGGATGTTGCTCGACTTGCGGAAAGCGTAAAATACACTCGCCTGCAGCTCGAAAGCTTTTACGCTTTCCGAAAGTCTCGCAACATCCCGCGTGAACAGATGACGCTATACTGACACTGTACTGTACTGTACTGTACTGTACTGTACTATACTGCACTACACTGCAGTACTGTACTGTACTTATAACTGTACTTATAACTGTACTTATATAACTGTACTTATAACTCTAACTTATATAACTGTAGTGAAATGTACTGGGGTCGGTGGCACAAAGGCTGGATAGCGCTGTTCACTGGATAGTGATTTTTTCAACTTTTGTAAAAATCTGTAAAAAGCTGTGAAACTACAGCATACAACTGCATGACCTCTGTATACTTGATGTAGTGTCCTGTGCTGTGCTGCTCTGTAGTCTGTACCGTACTGTACCGTACCGTACCGTACTGTACTGTACAGCTCTGTAGTCTGTACCGTACTGTACCGTACTGTGCTGTGCTGTACTGTACTGTACTGTACTGTACTGTATTATTTGTTAGGCTGTGTTGGAATCTACTAGAATACTGGTCAACTTTAATTTACTGTAATTCCAATCCATTCTTTAAAATGTCCTGTTGTGCATTGTATATTGTATATAGTATTGGGTGTATTGTATGTAGTCTTGCCGTGATGTATATCTCTTAATTTTCTACCGATTCTTTAGCCAATCACACCAATAAACCTCAACGTGAACGAACCACGTTTAAAGAAAACCATCTACAAGTTCTAGAACGTTGCTTCAACGAAGTCAAACACCCGGACACAAGTCGCCGAGAGAAGCTCGCGACAGAGCTTGGACTTCCTGCGAAGACCATCCAAATTTGGTTCCAGAACAGGCGGGCGCGAGAACGAAAAGGCGGGAAGGAAAGGAAGGCGAGCGATGGCTGTATTGAAGATTGGCAGAATTTCTCTGGTACGGAAAGCGGTTACGACTTAAACTGCGAAACAGGTAAATTACACGCTGTTACCTAAAACTCTTTCTTCGACGAGTAAAATTGCTGTGTATCAGCCTGCGAAATGGCTCTTACAACCAAATTTGAGAATTCCTTCTAAATCAGAACAATACTCAGAGAAAACTATAGTTTCATACTTTCATATTTATTTTGGCACTGCACAGAACAACTGAAAAACAGCGAATTATACAACAGCTTAAAAATTGTACAATTCACAAAATAATTGCACTTTTATGTTAACCAATGGAAATCAGATTCACCAATGTGCGATGGGATAGCCCAGGAAAATTTTGAAAATTGTCCGTGGGGATTTGGTCGGCGGGGCTTTTGTCGTGTGGGGTTTGCCGGTATCCCGTTCAGTTGGTAGACAAAGGCGTAAGGGACCGGTCATTATTTATGGCGGGGGTGGGGAGAGAAACGGGTTGGGTAAACAAAATTTCGAGTAAAAGGTTGGGTAAATGAAAAACAAAACAACTCAAGGGTTGGGTAATAAAAATTTATTGTCACTCCCAAAGCATGACTCACTCAAATATTGAAGACTAAAAAGCAATGTCAATAATCATATGTCAATACAATAATATGTGTACAATTATGTAAATCAATCAGATTGATTATCTTGATTATTTTCCAATTTGTCAGGAGGCCAATGGTGTCTCCAAAGAAAGTACATACGCAGACAACACGAAACTTTAGACTGCAAAAACTACATAAGCAGTTATCAAACTCGTGTCACAAAGGACATGTGTGACAACAGAATAGTATCCTTTTGTAAAGTTTATGGCCAGGGGTGGGTATTTATTTTTTAATTGATATTTGAGGTTGGGTAAAATTTTCGTTTGACTTTTTAATGGTTGGATCCTCAAAATGTTACAAAGAAAAACATTTCTCTTCGGTGTTATAAATAACGGCCGGTCCTTAATTCAGTTACTCAGTTGCATCTAAGTCTAACTCATCCTAACAAATGATTTACAGGTTCTACAGACTCTATTAGCACAGAAACATCTGAATCGAGTTCAACCACCAAAGCAGACAGTCTCGAAAGCTGCAAGACAACAGTTGTTCAAGAATTAGAGAGTAGCAAGCGACAGGAGAAAAGTAGCAGTCCGGACACAACTGAAGAAAATGAAAACACTAAAGAGGAGTTCACTATTATCCACATTCCTGAAGTACTGCCATGCCCAAACACACACCAACTTACCCCTGAATGTATGACCACTACGGATACAACCAACCTGATTTGTCAAACAAACGTTCAAGAATTGCCACAAGAAACATCAATTGAATCAACAATCGAACAACAGTTTGCAAGATCGGTGGAAAATCTGGACCTAGATCTCATAGTGAAAACGTATGAAGCATTACAATCAAGTGATAATGTTGAAGTTCTTATCGAGAACTGGTTAGCAGATTGTAGTCGAGACGAAGAGGATAGTGTAGGGAAATTAACATTAGAAGAAAATCTAAAACGTTTTATACAATTCAGTCAAAAATAGTTAAATCAGCTGTACAGCCAATAATGAATACAATTAGAAAGGTGTACTGTATTTTCTGTACTGTACACTGTAGAGGAAGTATTATAATACTTATAATTTGTCTAACTAAAGACATTGTAAATACAGAATTATCCACAAATTATACAATGCATGTATAAAAATTTACATTCGAAAATTCCATCTAGTACATTACCCATCTACTATAAATGTTAAGAACCTGAGGGGCTTGAAATACCAATCGGCAAGAAATTGTTTATGACCGGCGAAAAAGCATGGTTTTCAACCAGAAAAAGCAGGGAGGGTCATGAATGCTGATCACCATGATTGGGAACTAGCTTCAATGGGAACCTTATTTCAATTGCAATGAATCTGTTCAGACAAAATACAGTATTCGCTTTAAGTGGAAAATTTAAGGTGACAGCAATTTCATACTCAGCTCAAAACAAATGAGCCATGTAACAATATGTGCATCTTGATAAGTCTGGGCACTTGAGATTAAGTCCACGCTATAGTGATTGACAGTTCATGCCACAATAGACCCTTCCGGAGGAAAGTATGTCACTTAAACATTGTCCTATATTTCCATAATAATCAGTTGTATACAATTGGGGGAAAAAGGAACTTTACCGACTCCGATTGTGTAGCAATTTATAAAACAATCGATTTTAATGCTGATTATTAGTCAAACGTGCAGAAGTGCATGCACAATTGTGCACCTCGGGTACTGTAAAGGCCCACTTATACATACTCGATACAACTACTAGTCATACACAATTGTTATTCTGGCATATGAAAATGATAGTGCCAGACACCACTATTCCTGTTCATCAGTCTATGGTGAAATTTGAAATGTAACATCTTTACGTGTGTATTTATTCTTAAGACTATATACACCAGAATCATACGTATATGACTAGTTGTATCCCATCTATAGATGGGCTTTAAGTGGGACAACATTTTCTAATCTAAACACAAGCCAAAGATTATCGTGCTTACCAAATACACCCTTCTGGAGAGTCGATCCTTTAGCCTTTACTATAGAGCTTTGTTTTCGGGATTGAGATATTGGCTTTAGACCTTTATCTTGTTGCAGGCAACACATTTATGAAATCATACTATTATATTAGATATTAAACACAAATTTAAGATCTTCTTATAATTAAGTCATCAGTATGACAAGATACTGTAATTAGTCATCAGTATTAACAAGATACTGTAAACTGGTCTCTAAGGCCAATATATTTCAATCCCAAAAACGAGACTCTTTGCCGCTCTTTAGCCAAGGCTAAGTATTTTCTGGAAGGGTGTATTATCCCAAACTTATTACAATTTATTTATTGTATACCATTGTACAAAACAACATACCGCGAAATGCATCTTCATCTAAGTTGTGTTGTTGTATCATAGTTCCCATAGCACCATCAATGATCATGATTCTTTCGCTCAGAGTGTCATGGAGGTATTGAAAAATATCTAAAAGAAATAATTATTACAAGCATGTAGTATGATCCTGTAAAAGATACTGTATTTTAAGGCCTGATTGGATCGAATCAAAATAAAAAATTTTTGCATCAGATCCATGCAGAAAAGTTGTTCTATATAATTAGGATTGGAAATTTTGGTATTGGAAATGTGATCGGATGACTTTTCATTCTTTTTGGACCATCATAAGCACATTTTCATCATCAATAGCCGGCCAGTACTTCATGATTTTTTCCCATAATGTACTGTAAGTGTTCACCAATATCCATATCATTTGCATTCCAGATATCAGTATATCAAATTAAAAATATTGGTATTTTTGTCACCAATATTACAGATATTGTATAATTATTAATAACAAATTTATATACACTATATTTTAAATTTAAAGTATACTTTTTATTTCAATTTGATTGTAATCACATAACTCAGTGACCTGATTAATGTATCGATATAAAATTAAACTCAACATACAGCCATATTCAAAGATGTACTGTACGTAGCATATCATATATGGTAAGTGTTAATGGATGTCATTGCATATAGCCACTCTCAACTCATAGTTATGATGAGTTTTCTATGGTGCGTCCAATTGTCCTTGTGAATTTCGAAATAAAATAGAATATCAGTATCAATTATCGGAATCAACCAATATCGGCCCTTGAATATCGGTTATCAGAATATATTAGGTAAATTTCCATGCCAGTGCATCAGGGTTTTCAGTTTAGGCCGGCGAACGGCGAATTTCTCCAGACTTTTTCATTCAACCCCACCCAAATTCGCCAGAGCTTTACGTTTGCTCACGTCTCTATTACGTGTACTCGCCCAAATTTGTAAATTCTAGCTATTGGTAGAAATAATATCTATCGCCATAGCTTCATTGCCATTAGCCAGAGCCTCACACAAAACTGAAAACCCTGGTGCATCACTAATAATATTGTCCATTATCTTGGTATAATAAGCATAAATATGTGGCAAAAATTTGGTGGGCAATGATCTATGCCAGCAGATAGCATTTTCTGCATGCTGAGTAATTGTGGGTATACATAAAGTGCGAGCCAGCGAGCCATGCCGATGTTGTGAGCCACCACAGATCGGTGCGAGCCACACGATGTATGCGAGCCATGTGCAATAAATAAATATAAGAAATTGGTCTTGACCAAATGGTACTGAGTACATCTTAATTTTCCAGGACACAATAAACAACTTGCGTGTTAGACTGATTTTTAACTTGAAAAGTAACTTCCCGTAAAAAACTTGTTAAAACTGGTGAAAATGCAAAGTTTGGTTAGTGCAAAATGTTGTAGAATACGGAAGGTGTATAGCCTTGCGGGGTTTGCATGCATGTTTTGTATATGTTACAATATTGTATTTGCCGAAAATGCTAACAATTTCTGCACGTAATACAAACATATGCAAGGTTTGCAAACTTTGCAGGACTGTGTTTACCGGGGTTTGCAACATTTCGCGGCCGAATTTTGCGATTTTGCTAATTTCATTATGTTTCTTTTAGCAGTGGTATTTGATTCCCTTCTCTTTCCTAGGGTTAAAATTTGGTCTAACATGCAGGTTGTCCATTAGATCTTAAAATATACCTAAAATTCCTGTAATTGAAATTGGGTTCTTGATTATATTTATATTTCGTTTCTGAATTTTGTCTATTATTTTACTAATATACAGTCTTACATTTCACTCGTTAACCATTTTAAAATAATTTTAAACACGATTCGCATGGCTCGCACCTTGGCGCATGGCTCGCATCTTGGCTCACATGGCTCGCACTCTGGTGCATGGCTCGCATGGCTCACACCCTGGCTCGCATCCTGGCTCCCAAGGCTCGCACCCTGGCTTGCATGGCTCGCACCCTGGCTCGCGCAATATTGAAACTCAGTAATTGTTCCTGTTTCACAATTTCTTACCACATACTGTACACCACATATAAAAAGACGATTAATTTAAGAGAACACTTTTTTTTGGTTTCATGTACGTTCTAATAACATATTCTAATAAAATTAAGTTTTATGTACGTTCTAATAAAAGAAAGTTCCAGCACTAGCCAGTAAATGTTATGTGTCTCAATGGATGACAAATCCCGATGTTGTACGCCTATAAGACTGTTGACTTGCATTCCGATCCCAAGTTCATACTTTACCATTGTGCACCATCATGTATATGATGGTCTCATAAACATTAAGGAATGGTCAAATATAGTTTCTGCCAAAATTATGTCAATACGACATCTTGGGCAGGGGGTTGTAGTAGGCATGACGTCTTTTTCCCCCGAAATATACGCTTGAAAACACCAAATTAAAAAATAGTCAAATGTTGAAAAGCTCTGAATCTTACAAATCCTCAAAATAGAAGTACTTTTGCTGTTTTGCATACTACAACACTTATAATATTCCGATATACATATACTTGTATGAGTATAAACCTTGATGATCAAATATCATCAAATAAACAAACAATATACCTTTTGTAACACCATTAGAACTCAATCGACTCTGTGCTATTGTTGGTGCCATTTTTCCTTGCGAAAATATCTTCAAAGTTCTTGCAAAGATCGACACCAATCTACAGCCGTTGACAGCAATTGCACAGGAATGCAAAATAAAACCATGTATTTTTACTCAATTACATGTTGTGTTTATGGTTGAAAATTTTCCAGTTATTTTCCATATCCAACATCAAGGTTTGTATTTTAATCTACACGTGGTTGACATGCGAGCCAATTAGAAATCACGCGGTCGCGGGGATTATGCTAATCAGGTACGGCTCAACAAGAATTAATCTACGATAATAATATTATACCCTATGATATATTCTATTACACCCTCTCTCGCCACTCTAAAATAAGTCCCTCCTCTCTACTAGGGACTAGGGTCCCCCTCCCCTATTCTTGAAGGGGAAAATTATTACATGTAAAGAGCCCTCTGCCCCTCTCTCTCCCCAGAAGGAGTGAGGATCCCATTCAAGCCAAATGTGCTTAAAATATGTGCTGTAAGCTTCCAGGGATTAAAAGAGGAATCAGTTTTAAATTTGCGTACAAATTGCCATTCTGTATTTTTTCGTAGTTTGAATAGAAAATATTTGCTCCAGAGCTTTCGCATGAAAATTTTGTGGGCACTGGGGCGAAGTAAATTTATATACTCATCTTACATGACGTACCGCATAAGTGTAAGCAAATCTCGAAAAGAAGAGTTGAATTTTTCAAAGGCAATTTTCATGATCAAAACACAACGAATATGCCTGGCGTTACGTACGATGTGCCTTTAATTTTACCTGGCTTACGTAAAGAAGAATCCATATTGCAAATGGTGAACGCTTTAGAGCATTTACAACAAGTTTCTAAGGATGTATTTTCCAAAATCGAGAAACGGGTTGGCGAAAATCGCGATCGAATTGCAGCCATCGACAAGCGAGCGAACGTCGCAATGGCCAAGATAGAGAAGATTCGTGGAAGCAAGAAAGCGATCAGGGTGTTTTCAAGTGCAAAATACCCTGCCCCGGAAAAATTAGAGCAGTACGCGTCGCTACACACCTGTGATGGTCTTCAACAGAACCCTTTGCCTTGTGTCAACCAAAATTATCATGTTTCAACCAAATTCCTTAAAGCTGACCATGAGAGCATGAAAGAAAAGTTGCAATTTTATAACGTGCAACTGAATACGGCTAAACGAAAAACTGACAAGGACGATCAGGGGTTGGGTGGCCTACCGAAAGATATCTCATCGATCAGTTCGCTGCTGCTTTTCAATACGACTGAAAACCCATACAAGAAATATGTCATTTTGGACCCCCTGGAAGGGGCGGTCACCAAGACCAGGAAAGGCCTGGACGAAGAGGACGATGATCTAGCTGCAGCGCCGGTGACCATCACAAATCGTGAAGAAATGGACCTGCTTGGTTTGACAAATTATTTTTATGTCCCAAACCTTGGCGACGTGCCAGAACTTGATGTGCCAGTTCACCTTCCTGATTTGCCTGGAATTGCCGATGACCTTGCTTGGAGGTAGGTATCACTGCAGTTAATCAGTTCGGATAAGATGGGCTATACAGCATATCTTATAGTCACGACGGATTGAATGTGAAATTAAAGTACTCTAGGTTTAGCCATTGAGTCTCCTACTCATTCAATTGGAACCAGTGACTCGACTCGAGTGGAGCCATTGACTCAACTTGATCAGATACTGAGACGACTCACTTGAACTGCAAATGACTCAATCTACTCATCTTGTGACTCTACCTTGGCCTTTGGGGTGACTCATCACAACACTGCATAGAGAGTCCTTAGGATTGATTTATCATGTTTTCTCAATTTAGTGCCGACCTTGGTCCATCCATTGCACCTTCAGTTCCTGGATCCAATGTTCCTGAACTGCCTGAAGTCATTCCTGAAGAACCAGCACCTGCATTTCAACCTCATCAAGAAGATTCACAATCATCCCTATATACCCCTCCTCCCCCACCCCCACCTGACCCTGCAGGTCCCCCACCACCCCCTCCTCCACCTCCACCACCACAGCCCATGGAGGAACAAAGTTCTGGACCCCCAGCTCCAGGTATGGTATATATTTTAACCATTAAAGTTGCATAATTTGCATCCTAATACAGTTTTACTCACCAAGGGGAGTGTGCTGGCACCCAATTGGTTGATGGCAGCACTCTTCCCCAGACAAGTAAAAATCGATAGAGTAAAAGAACAAAGTAGGATGCATCTGGGCACATTGCCACTTAAAGGGTTAATCTGCCCATGTGATGTGTCTAGTAAACCATAAAGATGCATGCCAATGGCCCACAACAACCCTCGGAATTCAACTATTTTTGCCTCGGCAAACAATTGCCGAAGTCTTTCGATAATTTTCAAGTTTGCCTCGGCAATTTTTTTGCTGAGGCATGCAATGAAATCACCTTAAATTCCTTTGGCAATTACTTCGGCATTCATGTCGAAAGTTGTAATTAAAGTAAAGTACATACGGAAATTATTGTAAACAAATATTATAACTAGCATAGATTCTGACGTTTGACAATTTGTTGTTATTTTACAAATTCCTGATTCAAAATGTTTTTAAAAAGTTAGTGATAATTAACAACAAATTGTATGAAAGAATAAACTTGACGGTAATAATAAACATCCGACGTCGATGACAACAATTCAAACAAAGAAGTGATACAAAAAACGAAAACTGTAGTTTGTAAATTTAAGCAAAAAAACGAACAGATGCAGCTGTAGTTTGTAATTGAAGATATAATGGGTGGAATTGCCTCGGCATTTTTTTGCCGAGGCAAACTATGAAAAATCGTAACTTATCTCGGGCCAGGCATTTTTAACCCTATACGGTTATTTCTGGTGACCAGAAACCCTACAAAATTAAAATTTAATATGTAAATAGATTTAAAAAAAAAGGGATAAATAAATACTTCTTCTTCCCCTAGAATCTCTCTAACCCCTCTTATAAACTGTTCAACCCCACCAAAAAAATGAACAGGTGCAGCTGTAGTTTGTAATACAAGATAAAATGGGTGGAATTGCCTCAGCATTTTTTTGCCGATGCAAACTATGAAAAATTGTAACTTATCTCAGCAATTGCCGAGAATCCCCCCCCCCCTAGAATCTCTCTAACCCCTCTTATAAACTGTTCAACCCCACCAAAATTTTGCTTCACCCCAATTATTTTGTACGAAAGTCTTTAACCCTAATGCCTAACCCCTACAAAACTCGCTCAGTGATGCCGCTTCCACCCCTTGCCCAATGAGATGCAGATGAACTTTAATACTTGGTATATGTTAATACCAGTACTATAAAGCCTGCACAAAGAACTAAAAGAGCAATTTTTCTGAGACAAGTTTCTCTGAAAAGTTTGCCTTGTCAGCTGTACAGTAATATGTAGTCAACAAGTTTTACTTGACAAGTTTCCCCATGACATGTTTTGTTGCTAGTGTGCACAGAATGTTGTTAAAAATTTATCTCATATTGTGGTTGCATTTTTTTTTCCAAACCACTAAGTATTTCTTGTACACTTGTCATGCTTTCCTTGGCAGCCGTTCGCACAAACAAATTTTCCTTGTCCAAAAGCTGGTGTGACTAGTTTTGGAACAACTCTCCTTGGCAAGGTAAAATTGTCAAGTTTCTGCCGTACATAGGAGCAAATAAAACTTGTGAAGGAAAACTTATCAAGGAAAACTTGCTCTCCTGCACGGGGCTTCCTTGTAAGTTCAGGGTCTGAAATTTGCAGTATCCCGATATCCATGGGATACTAAAATTTGGTTTTGGATACCAAACTGTGAATGACTTATATCCCAACTGGATACTAAGAAAATTTCATACATTAGGAAAATGTTAAGCATCTCTGACAGTCTCCTGATAGCTTTTGAATACTATGAGTTTGCCACCCAAGCCTTTCCTCATATAATGTGCATTTTTGTGTATTAATGAATTGTCTAGTTGTTGACAACTTGACTGTTGAATCTCCTGTTGTTATTGTAATTTGTAACAGCGAGAGTTATTGGATGGGACAGGGTATAATACTTATGGTAACCAGTATCCAGAAGTGGGATACTGCATTCTCAGGGGGGATACTAAACTTTGAATCCTGGCATCCCAGTTGGATACTTAAATTTCAGACCTTGATGTAAGTCTGTCATTTTGAATACAAACAAGGCAAATAATATTTCTTTCAGCTCCAGCTGAGGTTGCTCAGCCAACAAGCAGTGGGGGTGATGAGGGTGGCAGAGCTGACCTAATGGCAGCCATCCGAAACGCAGGTGGTGCAGGCAAGGCCATACTGAAGAACTCTAAGGAGCGAAAGCAGAAAAAACGGGCTGAGAAGGAAGCGCCCAGTGGTGGTGGTGGTGGGGACCTCATGGGCGATCTCTTTGCAAAGTTACAGATGAGAAGGAAGGGTATATCAGGATCAAGGGGGGATAAATCAGGTGATGACACTGGTGGAGGGTCAGCTATGGATAAAATATCATCCATGATCCCTCCACCTAGCAACGCAAATGCAAATTCGTCATTGGCTAATGACAGTGGGGAGTGGGACTGATGATAACATGGACGAATAAACACTGTCTAGTAATTTTTATATTGGCCATTATAGTAGTATTGGTAAGTAATGATTTTTGATATGATTACAAGTGTACATAGGGTGAGATAGCCTAAGAATAGGCTAAGGATGACTCGATGAGACGGTTATGATGACGAGGACAACCAAAAGCATTATTGAAATAATAGTTACTGTCGTTCCAATTGAAGTGTTCCTCAAATATTGATTCAATACATTACCTCAGGCTGACCAATTCATTTCATCAAGTTCCTCGAGATATTCATACACTTCCTGTGAAAGAGCCAATTCCAAGTATTTGATAATTTCTGGTCACTTCCTTTCTATTTATGATTGGTTAGTTGCACAGACAACAAAGGTGATTGGTGCATTCAAACTATTCAACAGGAAGTTTACAATTATACTAGGAAGTGTATGAATATTTCGAGGAACTTGATCAAATGAATTGGTCAGGAACACTTCAATATTTGAGGAACACTTCAATTGTAAATTCACAGTAAATTTAAAAATGCATGAAATGTTACTATCACAAGACTTTGATTTCAGAATAAATGGTTTACGTTCAATATACCACTGGAAAAAAAAGTGAAATCCATACTACGAAATATGCAATTGCACCACAAAATCCATAGTATATCCATACTACTTCCATACTATATCCATACTATGAAAATATACAATTATTATGCATAACCAAAATCCACTCTAATTTCCAATAAAGGTCCATACAATTTCCATTCTATGACCTCCTATGGATTTTCAAAATTTTTTCCAGTGTACTGTATGTAGCATGTATACAGTAGCTAATAGTAGCTATGATTCTGAGTGCAATTTTGAAGATATATTTATTCTATAAAGTATAGTGCTTTATAGAGATTTCGAGCACTGCATGATAAAACTGATCATCGTGAAAATTATCGCTTTTCAATTATCGCTTTTGATAGCCTTCTCTATAAAAATTATCGCTTTTCAAAGACTGTCCTTTATATAATAAACAGAAAAATACATGGATGCTTGGAAATACCAGATTTATTTCTCGTGTTGCACATGATATCTCACTCGTGTGATATCATTCATGTGCAACACTCGAATTAATACAGTACATCAGGGTGCACGAATGAGTTTTTCAAAGACAAAGACGATCAAAATTGCAAGAGTACGAAGAACGAGTGCAATTCGAAAGTTTTATAAACTGACGAGTGTTTATATGTTTATGATGTTATCTCTGAGTGTGTTCACACTGGGCAAGCTGAAAAGTTTGCTTGACCTCGGTGGGAATCGAACCCGCGACCATTGGCTTGCTAGTCCAAAGGTCGCGGGTTCGATCCCCACCGCGGTCAAGCAAACGTTTCAGCTTGCCTGGTGTGGACAAACTAGGAGACAACATCATAAACATATATCTTCACCTGAGTGCACGACACCAGAATCAAGATCACGAGTGTTTGTTTTTCCAAATTGCATGAGAAACCATACTATTCTTAATTTAATCAGTAATGTATGAAAAACAATTTGTATGCATGAGAAACCATACTATTCTTAATTTAATCAGTAATGTATGAAAAACAATTTGTGGAGGTAGAAGCCAATTTATGGTCACTTACATCAGTGCATGAAACACATGCGAAATAGCTAATTTTGTACTGGCTTATTTGAATGACACAACAATTTAATAGTTGATGATGATTTTTAATATGATTGCAAATGTACTACAAACAGAGTAGGGTGATATCCCAGAGCCTGAATCACAGACCTTGCTGCATGTGAAGATGATGACGATGTTTAATGCACATTGAATTACAATGAATTACAATGTATTTACAGGAATACTGAATGTGTTTACAGGAATGTGTTTTCAATGTGTATGAATTCTCATTGTGTTTACTGGGGAATGTGTTCTCAATGTGTATGGATTTTCAATGTGTTCGGGCAATGTGTTTTTTGTTGAAACCTTTCTACCACATTTCCAACCTCGTTTCCAGGCTCTTCCCAACCTCGTTCCCAGGGAAGAGCCTGGGAACGTGGTTGCCACATTTCTACTTTCTAGTTTACGAAAGCATGCAATAGGTTAACTTTTATTTGGGTAGATATTTTAATGCTAAGTTACCTTTGTTGGATTTTATGCTTTCGTACATATAGAACAGGGGAAGTAAGCAAGTTACACGCGAGGTAAAATTTTCACCAACAAATTCGTCTGTGCGTTAGTTGTTAATAATAGACCAATCTCGTACCCAGAGCATACTCTGCGTGGGTACGAAATTGGTCTAAGAGACGAATCTGTTGGTGAAAATTTTACCTCGCGTGTAACTTGCTTACTTCCCCTGTTCTATGTGCGAAAGTATAAAATCCAACAATGGTAACTTAGCATTAAAATATCTACCCAAATAAAGGTTAACCTGTTGCATGCTTTCGTAAACTAGAAATATGGTAGAAAGGTAGTATGTGGCCCATCGCGGCATTCTGGCCCATCCCTACTTGGCCATTTTCACTTGACCACTACAAAACCTGGGTACGAGGTTGCATCTTTTACTTGCTCATCCATATTGACCACATATTGTGCACTTTAAACTATGACCACATTCCTCCAGTAGAAATTTCGTAATCTTTATCACGTGAGAGTCATTACGTCATAACATGACATTGTAGAAATTTCATGATATGATTACATTCCGGACTTTAAACTATGACCCAATTTATATATCTGTAGAAATTTTGTAATCATTTACAAGGCCATGTGCGAATCATGTGCCTTTTGTCTAATTCCATGCTTAACCCCTCATAAGTGGCGATGCGCCATGCTTTATTATTTTACTCTGGATGACGTCTAAAACTCTAACTCGAGGTCACAAAACCGTGGCTCTCAGGTGTGCCGAAAGGTATTCCGAAAACAGCTGTACTTTATGTTAAGCAACTTCAAGCCAGTAAGGCGCGATGTGGGCGCAGCGGCGTTTCAGAAGTAAAATAGGATGAAAATATGACACACCTTAGACGTGACTAAGGGAAGGAACTTTATGTGGTTAAAACACGACATGTGAACAAAATAATGTGTTCCTAGTTTTAGAGCATAAATATGATTATAATATAGCATTTGTAAATTCTGAACGCTGATTGGCTAAGAGCCGTGTTGATATACTCGATGTCAACACGGAAACGTCGGAAAATTTGTTTCTTTATATTTTTTTGTGCTATATTATAAAACAAATATATTAAAACAATTTTTCCGTATTGATGTGATCGAAATTCCGTATCGAAATTGTGTGAAAACACTATTTCTCGTTTTCCCAATTTCCACTCGTGTTGATATAACTGTATCTCAACACGGAAAATGTTTTATATTTGTTAAGTGTAAAATATTGTGTGCGGGTTAGAGTGTATTAGTATGAAATGTATGTAGAATGGTTAAGTTGATTGATTGTAAAAGATTGTTCGAATAAAGGAAAATACGAAAAAGGAAATCGTGGCTATACTGTGCGCAGCTCGAAACAGTTCCGTTTTATACTTTTAGAAATGTGGTGCAAGTGAGTAGTATGTGGTCCATCGTCATATATTGTTTACTTCACGAGTTCTCAACCATGCACTATATGAGTCTACGGCCACGTTTACATTCAACTTTATGACGCTATACGGCTAGCATTCTGTTAAAAACTCACTTCGTTTTTTAGTATTGTGTTACACTATATAACAGAATGGCCTGCCGTAGCGTACCAAATAAGGTCTATTACTATACGCTTGGCACTCCGGATGCAAATCAATTCGCTACGGGAAATTTGCCATATGTCATAGTGTAAACACGGCTTCAGGATGACTATCACCTTATTGAAATGAAGAAATTTCGTAATCACTAGGCAGATTTACTAACATGTGGGATTCAAGACATGCATGACATTGCAGAAATTTAATATTTGAGATCTGGACAACGCCTACTCAGGGCATAATGATCTTTGCTGAATGAGGGCGGTTTTGACCAGACGTAGTTCTATACCTGACTCGTCCCCAGTCGCTTACCTAACGCGCGTTAAAACGCCTCGGGGCATTCCCATGGTCCTTTGCGTTAGAAGCAGTGTTAGGGACTGTGGAAGAGTCAGGTTCTATACGTCATACTACGTCTGGGTACGTGTTAAGTGATCTGATATGCGTTGATTATCCCGTTTACTATGATGCTTTCATTATTATACCGGCGGTTATACATTATACCCCTGTCATCCAACAGAGGTAACTTAGCGTTAAAATATCTACCCAATGCAGATGAAAGTTACCTGTTGCATGCTTTCGTAAACTACAAATGTGGTAGAAAGGTAGTATGTAGCAGGCGTTTAATGCAGGGGGGGGGGGAGAGAGGGCGTCATTTCTTCTCCCGCACGCACTAAACGCTTGCTACGCAGTCTAGGTAGTATGTGGCCCATCGTGGCATTCTGAGCCATCCCTATTTGGCCAATATGAGTAGTCAATATATATATATTATATATGGCCATCTCTATTTGGCCATCCATATTGACCACATATTGTGCACTTTAAACTATGACCTCATTCCTCCAGTAGAAATTTCGTAATCTTTATCACGTGGGAGTCATTACGTCATAACATGACATTGTATAGAAATTTGACATGATTACATTCCAGACTTTAAACTATGACCTAATTTATCTGTAGTAATTTTGTAATCATTCGCAAGGCCATGTGCGAATCATGTGCCTTTTGGTCTTGCATGCTTAACCCCTTATAAGTGGCGATGCGCCATCACCGTTTATTATTTTACTCTGTGAGGATGACGTCTAAAACTCTCCAGGTCAAAAACTGGTGTGGCAATAACGGTATGCCCAAAACCGGCGCACTTTATAGCCACAATTCAAGCCGTGGTTATAAGGTATGCCGAAAACAAGCGTGTTTTATAGCCACAACAGTGGCTGTGAGGTATACGCAGCCCAAAACCATGGTCGTACCGGGCGGGGCAGTCGGGCAATATTCGATCAACAGTCGGGCAATTTTGGTTTGCAATAAAAAAAATTGGACAAATTCTGTCAATTTTGTCTAAAATCAAGTCAATTTTTTGGCAAATTTTGCGATTTTTCGAAGATTTGTGTTATGTTCGGAAAAAATTGTATGTCCGGAAAATTTTTTTGACCCCTAAAATGGTACACTGACCGAAAATATTTTGGCGCCGGGGGGAGGTCGCCAAAATAATTTTTACGGAAAAAATTTTTTGGTACTAGTCGGGCAGAATCCCGAAAAGTTGGGCAATTTTCTTTCCGCCCCCCTAATTTTTTCCTTCCGGTACGCCCATGCCCAAAACAGGTGCATACTTTATGGTGATCGCTAGATAGTATACTTCAAAATAAGGTTTCCGTTTTTATAATGTAGAAAAAACTATCCTAACTCAAAACTAAACCCTAACCCTAATACTATCCCTAACCTTAACCTAACCCTAACCTAAACCCTAACCTAACCCTTACTTATTTTAAAAATTGATATAAAAACGGAAACCTTATTTTGAAGTATACTATCTAGCAATTGCCCATACTTTATAGCCACAAATCGTGGCTAGCTATAAGATTGATGTCCAATACCCACGATCGGAGTCCGATGGAGAAATCCATCATACATGTGCTACCGATTGATCCGATGGACAAACATGTTTACCGTCGGAGAAAATTTTCTCCAATGGACAAATATACGTAGACAAGCAGTATAGCATAACGTGATATTAATTCATAACATAAAGACTATTACCATTATACTTTTGAAATATTTTTTTTCTCTAAGTGTCCATGTTTGAACGATGTAAGTGGCAAATGTCAGATGGTCCGATCGATCGATCGGATCCATCGGACAAGCGTGCTTACGGTCGGACAGAAATTTTACCGATGGCGAAATGACGTCATTTGAAAGCTACGCGGTGGGTCTCTAAATTCAAAAATTTTCCTGGGGGGCATGCCCCCGGACCCCCCTAGACAAACCTCGCACCTGCGGCGCTCGGCTCGTGCTTTCGGCCCTCGTTTATCAAGTGAAACATTATAGGGGCGCATATTTGTTGACAGCCCACTGGCCCCCCCCCCCCAGAAAAATAGTACCCTGCAGCACGCCACTGCTAAAGAACGACGGAACATGGTTGTATTTAATATCATTCGTGTTCTAAGCGTGATTGGCATATATTATGATAATTCAGTATCATGTTATAATTCATTTTCAGGGCAGCCTATAAATCATTGAAGAATCATTATAATAGATTGATTAAAAGTACAATGCGTCAACACTATCAAGAAAAGATACATAATAATTCAGGTGATATTAAGAAAACATGGAAAATAATCAATGAGGTGATTAACAAGTCAAAAAAGCCAATAAAGTACTACAGCTTAAAAATGAAAATAACGAAATTATTGATCAAGCGGATATCCCAAATCAGTTTAACAAATATTTCATTGAATTAGGGGATAATTTATCTAATGATATACCCTTATCAACGTCAACTCCCGACAGATATTTTACCAATTTTCAATGTCCAACTCACACTTTATCGCACTTTAAAGAGGTATCAGAGACTGTAATATTGAGATTGCTTTCTAACTTAACTATATCCAAGGCATCCGGTCTGGATCAAATTTCGGCTAAAGTTTTAAAAATTGCAGCACCATCTATTGCTCCATCACTTACTTTAATTTTTAATCAATCAATCATCCGCACTGGCATATTTCCATCTGACTGGAAAGTTGCGAGGGTTACACCAATTTATAAATCTGGGGAAAAATTCTGCATGTCCAATTATAGACCTATATCCGTTATTTCAATTGTTGCAAGAATCATGGAAAAGCTAATACACAACCAGATCTATGAATATTTGATTAAGGAAAATCTACTAGCAAATTCCCAACCCGGCTTTAGGCCGAACCATTCAACTCTAACTGCGTTGCTCGATATCACAAATAGATGGTATCAGAATATGGACATTGGCCAACTTAATGGTGTGATATTTCTTGATTTAAAAAAAGCATTCGATACTGTTAATCACGACATCCTTCTTAGTAAGTTGGCAATTTATGGCATAAGGGGGTCGGCATTACGCTGGCTGAACTCCTATTTAACAGGTCGAATACAATATTGCCAAGTGAATGCCCATTTATCTGATCCTCTATGTGTGACAACGGGTATACCACAAGGTTCGGCTCTTGGTCCACTCTTGTTCCTAATTTACATAAATGACCTACCTAATTGTCTGGAACACACTAAAGTCAATATGTTTGCCGACGATACCCAAATTGAAACGGCAGGTTATGATGTTAATACAATTGCTGAGGAACTTAATCAAGATCTAGAAACCGTTTCAGTTTGGTTGTCGGCAAATAAACTAACTTTAAACAAAACGAAGACAGAATACATGATAATAGGTAGTAATAGAAGAGTCAATCATATTAACATAACGCCTAATATATTCATAAAAGACAGAGAAATTAATAGAGTCAAAACGACCAAATCACTCGGCTTAATGATTGACGAAACACTCTCATGGAATGCTCAAGTTGATCAAATTACAAAAAAGGTTAATTCAGGTCTCAGTATCCTTAAAAGATTGAGAGACATTCTAGATTACCAAACACTGATCAAAATTTATTTATCAATAATTCAACCACATTTCGACTATTGCTCACAGATTTGGGGTTGTCTGGGTAAAGTACTATCTGATAAACTCCAGAAGCTTCAAAATAGAGCATTTCGAATAATAACTCGTGAAAACTATGATACACGTACAATCGATGTTTTGAACAAGGTCGGTTTTCCAAATCTCGTGACTAGAAGAAAACATCATTTAGCCGTCCTAATGTTCAAAGCCAAACATAACATGTTACCAAATTGCTTAACGGAACTTTTCATCACCTCAAATGAAATACATAATTACAATACAAGACAGAGCGAATTCAATTTTGCATTACCTAAACCTAAAACTAATTTTATGAAAAAGTCTTTCGCCTATCGAGGAGCTGAGACTTGGAATAATCTGTCTGCTGACATAAAAGCTAAAACAAGCATCTCTACATTTAAAAATAGTCTAACTGTAAGTGTGTAATTTGTGTGTAATTTAGTTATTATTATTAGATACTGTAGTATATGTGTAATTAGTATAGCTATATACGGCCTATTGGAAGATCACCCGTCTTAATTTTTGTAAATATCTTGGTGAAATAGTACCGTTTTTAATAAAGTCAATAAAGTCAAAGTCAATGTTCTAAGCTTGTTTGGCATGTAAAATTATGATAAGGTTTCTAAAGAACGACGGAACATGGTTGTATTTAATATCATTCGTGTTCTAAGCGTGATTGGCATGCATTATAATAATTCAGTTTTATGTTATATAATTCATGTACTAAGCTTGTTTGGCATGTAAAATTATGATAAGGTTTTTAAAGAACGACGGAACATGGTTGTATTTAATATTCGTGTTCTAAGCGTGATTGGCATGTATTCTGAGACCTTATGATAATTCAGTTTTATGTTATAGTTCATGTAGCTACTAAGCTTGTTTGGCATGTAAAATTATGATAAGGTTTTTAAAGACGAAGAATAATTGTTGTAAAGAACAAAGGAATATGGAACATATACTTGTTTCTTTGGCGTCCCTTTTTGCCATCGGTAAAATAATTGTCGGACCGCGAAAACGTTTGTCCGATCGATTGGATCGATCGATCGGACCATTCGACATTCACACATCGCACAATGAACTTGCACTGCTTTCAACTTGCACGTGCTCACAGAGACGACTGGGGACGAGTCAGACCCGAGACCCTCACGCAGTAATCTGCGCAGCAGGCGTTTATTTGCTTTCGGGCAGCAATCGGTAAAATATTGTCCGACGGTAAACAGGATTGTCCGGTGGATCCATCCGTACCATCTGTAAGACTGCTTTGTCGATCGGATACCGATCGTCAGTATTGGACATTTATGAGCTATAATTAGAAGGTATGCCGAAAAAATGACCCTTTGTTCCGTTGTATGCTATTAGAAATGTGGTGCAAATGAGTAGTATGTGGTCCATCGTCCTATATTGCGTACTTCACGAGTTCTCAACCATGCACTATGAGTCTACGGGCACTTTACATTCAACTTAATAACGCTATACGGCTAGCATTCCGTGTTAAAAATTCACTACGATTTTTAGTATTGTGTTTACACTATATAACGGAATGGCCTGTCGTAGCGTACCAAATAAGGTCTATTACTATACGCTGTAAATTTGCCATATGTCATAGTGTAAACACGGCTTATGATAACTATCACCTCATTGTCCATTGAAGTGAAGAAATTTCGTAATCACTAGGCAGATTTATTGACATCTGGGATTCAAGACATGTATGACATTGCAGAAATTTAATACCTGAGACTGGACAACGCCTACTCAGTGCATAATCGGATTTTAATTGCCGAATGAGGGTGGTTTTGACGAGACATAGTACGTTCTATAACGTGTTTAGTGATCTTATATGCCGTTGATTATCCCGTTCACCATGACGCTTGCATTATTATCAGTACCGGTGATCAGTATATACATTATTCCTCTGTGAGTTGATGAGAGTTGATGAGTTGGAGTCAAAAATGAGCGAGACTTAAAGTTGTTGTCAGAATTTAGTCAGGTTTCGCTCATTTTTGACCCCAACTCATCAACTCTCATCAACTCACATCAACTCTTTGAGGCTTAAACTGGTTCAAATTTTAATGCGAGTTTTTGCAGTAGTATCCAGTCGTGAAACTCTCATCAATTGAATTTTCATGCAGCTCTTGTTCTCGTGAGTCAGAACGCGGTACTGAACTACCCCGCCGTGTGACTTATCAGAAAATGTGAATTGACTAAAAACTTTCATATACTGACAATATATACGTAAACAGTTAACGTAATAGATTGGGTAAATATTATAGGATTATTTTGAGCATCTCAATCGATCAACTATAATGAAGTTTGTTTTCACATGCAAATGTAAATTTTTATGCAGTTGGGAAATGGGGAATTAAATGCATGCAACTACTGGCAGGAATCTAACCTACGGCCCTGCGAATGCTGCGATTCCGGTGAGTACCGTTTTACTGACCAACTGAGCTACACAGGCTTGCCAGTTGTCGAGCTTTACCCTCAACTGCTGCAATTTCTTCAACGTTCATGCATAGATTGGGACTGAAAATCCTTCAATGTTAATAGATTGGGACTATAGCAGGAGCAGTTCAAATTTCGAAAACATTCACCACGGAATGCATTTTGCGCATTTGACCGCAAAATTGCATGACCATGAAAATATATACCCGCGTATAGTAGTAACGTTGCATGGATTTCGGCTATTTCCCAATATTACGGACTCGTTCTTTGTTTTAGTATACGGCTGTGATGTCAAAGAGCAATTGCGAAACGTTTCGACAGTGATATGGTCGAAATCGAAAACACTTCAACCACACCTGCGCTCAAGTATGGGTCTTAACAACCGATGGGCGATGCTATCGTTGTTATCCCTGTCAAAATTTCATATTTGTTCGGTATGTCACTATGCACACGTGGGACTTTAATGAATACTGTGCCGGGAGTACAAATATGACCATGCAACAATTTAATATCATTATCTATGACCCGCCCCGGATTATCATCCAGAGTCTCCGCCAACGCGAGAGAGTTGCGATCATGTTGACCTTTGCCCGTGGAACACTGGAACTTTCATATAGTTTCAACGCAATGCAGTTTTCAATATTATTTCACTATTATTTAAAAAAATATTTATCCACGGCAGCCTAATTTCAGTTTCCATCTCAAACTCATTAACAATTCATGAGTAAATTAGCCAACCATATATTGCTTTATTTTGCTCACATGATCATGCTGGATGAAGATACCTGGGACTGCATCAAAATTAATTCAGTCCTTGGACTGGATCGAAATTAATTCACCTCACTTTCAGTAGTGATTTAGTATTCGTATGAGATGTCATTTCAAACCCTCCAATTCAGAACTGGACCATAGATTTCAAGTCCTCGCATCTTGATCCAGTGCTCGGCTTCGCCTCGGACTTGATCAAATTGCGTGCATGACTTGAAATCTAGTCCAGTCCTCATGTAGTCGGATTTGAAATATTACATGAACTCGGCACTTAATAGACAATTTTCATTATAGACTGAATTTAAAACTAGGCAAGAAGATGCAAATAAATCACCACAGCTAGAAAGAGCATACTAAAATGAGTAAAATTGCAAAATTTGGTTGCGACATGTTGTAAAATGCGGAAGAAATAGCCTTGCAAAGTTTGCAAATTTTGTATACTTTTGTATTGCGTGCAGAAATTGCTCGGTATGCTACCATTTTCGGCCCAAATGTGGTAGGAATTTCCGCACGCAATACAAAAGTATACAAAATTTGCGAACTTTGCAAGGCTATATTTTCCGCACTTTACAACATTTCGCAACCAAACTTTGTGATTTTACTAATTTTAGTATGCTCTTTCTAGCTGTGGTGATTGATTTGCATCTTCTTGCCTAGTTTTAAAATTAGTCTATAATGGGAAATGTCTATTAAGCTCACGTAAAGACGAGCAAGAGCAAATTGTGAGCAAGTACACAGAGCGAGTTTTCCTTAACAACTTTCGTTGACAAGTTTTGTTACTCGTGTGAAATGCTGTTAAACAAGTATCTCACGTCAAGAAGGCCATCTTTCGTTTGTCAATTGAAGTATCTCTTGTACACTTGTCAGTCAAGTTTCCTTGGCGACCGTACACACGAACACATTTTCCTTGTCCAAAAGTTGGCATGACTAACCTTGGAACAAGTGTTGGAACAATTGTCAAGTTTTTGCCGTACACACGAGAAAATAAAACTTTTGTCAAGGGGCCACAGGGCATTACTGTTAGGCCTGGCCCGCCTGTCTACTGATATATGCGTGACCGGCTCGCCAAATCAGCTCCACCAGCTGAGACATCGTGGACACCGATATCGAATACGGAGACCAAATATCTTCGGTGTAAAAAAATAGCCGGAAGGAAAAAAAGAAGTGCACTGATATAATAAATTCTTTGTAGTTTTGCGCCACGGAGAATCATATAATATATATATATATATATACTTATTATTGCAATAAAAAATATACGTGGTGAGTTTCACAAGCCAACACATATATGATACTGACATAGTTACGCTATTATATTTATAACTTCCCGACAAAGCTGGCCTAGCTTCGATAGTTTTTTCGCTGTAGTTTTTCAGACTTTGACAAACGTAATGTGCAACTATGAACTATATCACCAACAAAAGATGTTTTAATTCAGTCGACTTGGACGTCTGTTGTTGGTAATAGTTGCATAGACATAGTATTATCCTAAACAGACGTGCAGACTAACCAACTTAAGAACAATTAAATACTCATTAGCCTGAACGATTGACTTGCAGTGATAAGAAACGTATATACTATGTCTATGAATTTTTAACTTGACGGAATGCTAGCCGCGTAGCGTTATAGCCTATATATGGTGTGAATTGTTAGATACTGAAAGACGGGCAATTTCCATCTTAGCGGTCGGTATAAGTGTCCGTATCTTTCACTCACATGTAACAACCTCGTTCCCAGGCTCTTGGTTGGTTTCTTAATATATTGTGTTTGCACTATAGAGGAGAGGTTTGCGGCTAGCGTGCCAACTACGGACCACTACGTTTGGCACTCCGGATGCAAATCAATACACTGAACTCACAAGCGTACTCGTTTGTGTATTCCAAAGTTAATGTTATCCATTTGAAACAAACGAGATGACATCGTGGACTACCCAACACAACTGCAAACTCTTGGGTACTGATGCTGCCCCCAGCCCCCTCCACCCCTTCACCACGTACGCCTATACCAGTAATTAACAACCACACGCTTTTGGAATTTAAAGATTTGCTGACTGATATGATGCGTGTCAATTTTCTGGTGACGATCAACACATGGCAAGAACTAATGTTAACCAATGTCGCGTCAACTCCCATGCCCCCCATCCTTGTTCACACGATCTTTTAAGGCGAGAGGGGTATGACGCACCCTTGTCCTTGATCCTCCGCGCGAGTTTACCGATTACCCGAATGCCTTGTATTTTCCGGGTATATACAGTCCTCATTAAATCATTATATATTAAAATGCGCAAATAAAGTAAAACCGCAAACGCCTCTGCGGGGAAGCATTAAGTAATCATACCAAAGCCTATTATATAGCTATTTCCCCATATTTGGGGAACTATAAGAAGAAAGAGTATACAATTACACACAAAGGGGGAAATATACACACATATATCTTCCCATCAAAACTATTCACCCGGTCATTCTGGAAAGCCAAATAAATAAAGAATACACGTAACGAATATAAGTTATATAACCACATTTTTATAAACATGGCGATAATAACCAATTTGTATGGTGCACATAAATTAATATCACACCTATACTATTACTCTTGAGAGGTGATCTGTGGTTAGACGACAATATAAGCATTGTCAGTTCTGATCATGAGGGTTGATGAACCGAGTTACAATATCGAAATATCTCATGCAAGTAATCACTGTTAAATCATGTATGTCAAGTTTGGTGTTCAAATAAGCTTTCAAGGTTATCAATAATTTTTCATACATGTACAGTGTGGTCTCCTGCTATTGAAATCAACTTTTGCAGATGGGGCTACTAGGTCTTTAACTTTTAAGTAAACTTTTTCATTCGTTCAAGGAACCGAGAAGGAACCAAGTTACCAAGAGGCAACACAAAGGCTAAGGAAGACTGGAAGAGCAATATAATCGTCAAGTATGCATGACTAAAGACATGAGATTGGTTCAGCGTCAGGGTGTGAAAAAACCATGGAATGTCAGGTGGAATGGCATGTCAGCGCAAATTCGACCCTAATTTACCCTCTCCCCCAATACAACCCTAACCAATTCCGCACTCATATAAATTCCGCATACCAGACCCCACGGCCGTTCCGCCTTTCACATTCACCGATTAAAGACACAGAATATTGCACGTTTGTTCGTGAATAAATGATGAATGGGTAAAAGTATTTCCTTCATTTTTTGAGATTCGCTAAATTAAAAATTTTACGCTTTTCCTCGTTTCCCGTTGCTTCCATCACCTCAATATTGAGCGGTTCCTAAACTCCTAAAGTCTCATAACAAAATTTCAAATTCTCTCTAGTGCAAACTCGCGCTTGCCCGCCCTTCGCAAGGTTATACTTGAGGTTATATTATACGGTAGCAATGTGCCGCGCGAGTCGCCCTGTCGGGTATCTGATAACCGGAAACACGGCGACTCGAGCATTCACTTCCTAAAGCAGGCGAACACATATCTCGCATTTCCGACATTGAAATCGAGTGTTTCTCGCAGCGCACTTAGGGCACAAAAGAAAGTGCTTGTGAGATGTGCAAATAAATGCAAATTGGAGACACAATTCCGTTTTCCAAAAGAGGTGCAATATATTCCTCAAACCGCCCACTGTGGGATGACGTCGTTGGTCAGATCGCGTGACTTATTGACCAATGAGATGAGTGCCTTGTTAATGAGGAGAAACAAAACCTCGCCTGCTCGCCAGCCATGTTCTCTTTTACGCATACTTCATCTTGACGGACGAGTCAAACTAACTATTTTCTTAAACGGGTTCAGAAAACAGCCTCCAAAATACCGCCTCTACGAGATACCGATCAATTCCACTATGCCTGCTATCCAGCGAGAGCAGTTGATATCAAAAGGGAGCCTATGGATTCCTTTTATCCGCCTTGCCAAAATGCAGCGAGCAGGCATATGCAGGGATGGAATATTAACAACGACACAGGACTGGATAACCTAGCATTTGCTGCACAAGCTGCGCTTGACGCAGAGTTCGGGCTAAGCTTCTACGATCCGTATGTTAGCGAGCCTTCCTTGGATTTGTCGCCTTACTTAGAAGATATCGACCTTGATACAAGCCAGCAAGCTGATATTTTCGATCTCGTTTCGACTGTACCGCCGCCGAAGCAAGACCTGAAAGCAACTATACAGCAACATGGCTACGGAGCGTTCGAGAACGAGTTCGAGCAGTTTTTAGACGAGAGCAGTGGTTTTATGGCCGAATACAACGAAGCCGAAACGTTTGGAAGTCAGACGGTGCCGTTGTTTGTTGAAACGGACTGGCAATCGTCCTGCTCGGATAGTTCACCTTCACCATCGCCTGGGCTGCCTTCCGATGCACGAAAGTTGAAAATCCGACGTCAGCGCGGACGGAAAGGCTCTGCCAACAAGTCGAACTACTCCGGAGACAAGACTACCTGCGAGTATCGTTTGAAGCGAGAACGAAACAACGTGGCCGTACGAAAAAGCCGCATGAAGACCAAAGAAAAGCAAGTGGCGATCTTTCGTAAAGCGAGCGAGCTGACCGAAGAGAATGAAGATCTTCAATCAGTCGTCGCAAGCCTTACCGAAGAGCTTCAGCGATTGAAAAATTATCTTGCAAAATCAGGAATCTCCCATTTGGACTTGCCGATTGAGGCTTAGGCGAACTCCAAGGACGGATTTCTCGAGGACTATTGAACCCATTGGACGTGTCGTAAAAGTATTTTTTAAAATTGGATTGTGACTTTAACATATAATATGACTTGTTGTGTGTAGTGCATATTAAAAAGCTGCATACTTCAAAAATGGTTAACCATATGTAGTGTAGATTGTTTTATAGTGCGGCTGTAGAGTGCAAGACATATATTCTATTAACGCGGTCGTCTTTTTATAGCAAGTTTATAAGCCGTAAAGAAGGATAAGACCAAAGCTCGCTGGATTGTGCTTGATTTCAAATACAAATGTACATTTTTGTATATAAAAGATGTACATTTGTACATTTAAGTTTTAATCGGAGCTGGTATCCCCATGTAATTTAAACCTTATGCTGTGTTATATTAATCAACGATCCAGTGAACTTTGGCATCCCTCTCAAAAGAAAAAGGAATTTGCTGGTTAAATAGCGTATTGAATTTCGCTTTGTGTATAGTAATATTTATGCCAGTTGTGTCTTAAGTGCAGTTTAGTGTGAAAATTGGTGAAAAAGCGCGTGATTTATCACTGATTTGATATAAAATTAAGTTAGGGGATTAATGTGTGAATGAATATTGAACGCGATTCGTCGCGTTTCAATGCGTGTTTATAATAGGGGATCCAGCTTTGATGTGTCGCAGCCTGTAGCATACACGTTGAAGAGATTAATCAAGTAGTTTTAGATGCAAAACCTCTCTGTAAAAATTGAATTTCTTGAAACATGATTTGAGTCGAATAATTGTATACAAGTTGTATCAGCATGGTTGTCTTTGATTTAGGAAATGTTTTAGTCTGTTTCCGCATTTTGTAGCCGAGATCAGTGTTTCTACTGCCAATATAACCCGCTGTGCCGTGCTTGATATTTGTTTAGATTTCAGATGCATTGTGCTGTGACCGGGAGATTAAGAAAATTTGGTATATATAGTAATTATAGCGTTCACTTTGCGTGTCGTCTTAATGATTCCGAATACTTCGAATATTAGGTGGCATGTAGCAATTTTGCAATCGAATGCCACATATATGTGGATTTTACAGATTTACTATTATTTCGTTCGATTTTTACCGCTTTTTAACATTCAAAAGGTCAAACTTTAATGGCGGAGTTTATAACAATAATATTGATCTAATTTCGTTTGATTTCCGTTTTGGGAATTTTACTTCGCGTGACACGCTGGCGTATTTGATAATATATCACATCATTATATATTGTTTGATTGTAGCAAACCATGTCGCGGATCTCACAAGTCAAGAGGGCAAAATGAATTGAACATGATATTTGCTTTGTCTGTCTGCTGCTTTAGCAACGGGCAAAACAAATTTGACAAAAGTGGAAAAATGATGGCACATACTGTTTTCAGAATATGAACTAGCATATATGCACAGCTAGTAAGGAATTTAAAGTAATGGAACAGCTATTACTATGCCTATGACCAGCTTTGCCAAACAGTCATGTACTAAGTTGCACCATGCAACCGGCGTTTGCTACAAATTTACAACACAATTTCTATGTTAGGTGGAAAAGTGCTCATAGAACTAACGGTACCAGTGTCTGCCCGTGTTGCTGACTTTCATTCCGTTGGTATTTAATATTCATTCTCATAAATAATTCACTTGTCATTTCGTTCCATTCATGCCTCTGTGGAATCTTAAGTATAATATAAAAAAGAATCGGCCAATTCTAGAATTTGGGTAAGTGTTTGGCAATAGCTCTCAAAATACTTTTTACATAACACTGTTCAAGAGTGCTTCTATAAGTCTTCTAAACCAGCTGATTTTTCAGTCGGCAATAACAAAAGAAATGCATGTGTTGACTTGTTAAATATCTGTGTTTTATAATCAGATTTTGATAGATTAAAAAAATGCGAGACCGTGAATTTTCGATATATCTTAACTCACATCTTCAAATTGTTTAAGGTTACAGGACACCCTTTTTGGCGTTTTGCAGAAAATCGCTACTGCGCGCTCAATATCAGTCTAGTTTTAATCATATTTTCACCAAATATTCGCCAGTGCATGCAAAATATGGTAAAGTTGTAAAATTAACAAACAGTAAAATAATGTAAGAATTATTCAGGAAAATCTTAAATCGCGGTACCGTTACGCTTTTGAGTTGTGCTCCTGCTGATTTTAAGTTATATATTTATGAAAATATCATTTTTATACAGTAAAATAGTTGTTCTAAAAAGGGTGTTCGGAAATTTTTGTTTATTTCGTCATTCCGCTGATATGGCGATTTCTTTGACGACTGCAATATATTTCTGAATTGTTTGAGTGAATTGCTCTTTATTTATTATTAAAATATCCAAAATTAAAAAAAAGCCGAACACTATTTTGAAACTGACCTCTCTAGCTATGTCCTGTGAAAATTTGAGAAACATTGGTTAAAATCCGCAGGAGAACAACTCGTTTGAAAATCAGTGATTACCGTAAAATTCTTCGGGAGAAAATTGATTTTGAATATTACATTTTCAATGTTTTTCTTATTGCAGCGAAATGTATTTTATCAAATAACTCTGCGAGTTTTCAACATTTTTCGTTGAAACTTGGTCATATAGTAGAACTAGTCTAATGCTTTCATGGAAACCAATAAAAAAAATTTTAGGCAAAATTAACACTCAAAGGTGTTCTGTAACCTTAACAAATCAAACTTCATCTTCATTCTTCAAGCTTTCAATTGTTCTAATTTCTACGTTTGAAATATTATTTCTACTGTCAGTAGTTAGGACAGGGAAAATTGCTTCATGTATTTTGCAGGCAGACTACGAAACCAGTGGCACCATATGTGTAGCCATTTAAATGATTTCGTAGGAAGAGCCGGTGATAACGTTTGACCACACGACATGAAATTTGAGCACAGAAAATTCTGGAGATCGAAAAAAGTTTATCGTTTTATTTCGTATTTGATTTCGCTGTAATTTTGCATAGCCATAGGTATAAATTCTAACTCTTGTAGGATTTGTAAGAAATGTTTGAGAGAACGCAACTGACATAGTAATATTAGAATTAAAGTCAGTTCCATCAAACACTGATTTCTTACAAATCCTTCAAAACTTAGAATTGACCTATATGCAAAATGCGGCTACTGTGATCACAGAATCGTTGATAGTATGAACCAGCCTTTATAGTCTTTATAATTCTACGCAGCTAGAAATTGCAAAATATTTATAATATTTGATACAGTATACAATAGTTGCCCTAGTCCTAGACCATTCCTAATTGGTCCGATATGTTGTGAGAAAACATATGGCTCCAGCCTCCTGCGACCGGCTGCCGAGACGAAATTTGATTTTAAACCGCGGTTGCTCAGCAGGCTGTCGCGGAGGTGAAGGACACATACGATGGCATCACAATACCGGCACATGAAATTTGACAATAACCCAACAATGGTCACATTGAAATGAATTCTGAGAAGACAAAAACAACAATTTTATTGAAACGAATTCTGGTTATAATAAAGTCAATTAAAACTATTTTCTACATTGTCACAAGATTACAAGTAATCCACTATCAATCTACTACGATTAGACTGGTATTAAAAAATGATAAAATCCATCAGTGATATGACAATATAAAGGTCAATTGACTCAATTACCCAGACCACAGAATGGTTTAATAATCCGGCTCCATTCTGTGCTCCGACCTTTTGAACACTTGAACAGGTTGTATAAAAAATCGCTAATCCTACGTTGACATGCATGTCATCGCGCATTTTAGGTGTAAGAATGACACCTATTTTGTATAAAAGCGATCAAAAATGGCAAAATATACATGCACGATATGATTTAATGTAGTCTACCAAGAACTGCTGATCAATCCAAACCAATGCGCCATCTTTGATTTTGGTAAAGTTTTTAAATATGAATTCGAAGTGAGAATAGTTTCGACACTCAGATATAAATAACTCAAAAAAAGAATGTCGACTACGCTACGGACATTGGAACTTTATGCCTTGGCCCTTGGTTTATGGACTTTGGTACTAGTTTAGGTTTTTGTCGAGGGTCGAGTGTCGAGGGTCCAATGTCGAGGGTGAGGGTAAAAAGTCGAGGGTGAGGGTAAAAAGTCGAGGGTGAGGGTAAAAAGTCGAGGGTCATAAAAAACGTCGAGGGTCGAAGTTTGCGGGCAAAATAACTTGTTTAATGTTGTGACATGGACTTATCATATATATGTATGCAGAACTACATTAACTTTTAAAAGATACTACCTTGCGTAAGTTTTCTAAGCGATTATTTTCTAAGCCCCTTCATGCTCGTTAGTTAACGTGTTTATGTCTAATATGAGAACGGTCTCTTTGCTTTCTTATCAAATTAACGTAACAGCATAGATTATCGGGTAACTGTTATGATTAAAAAACTTGTGTGTTTTCTGCTAGATCGGAGCGCGGTTAACGCGGTGCAGACATGCCACTGTTCAAGAAACCAATGAACGCTAAGTGATTCAGTCAATATTACTCGCCTTACGGCCAACCATTGTCATTGACCAACCTCGCAAGCAAGGGTCTCCACATCTGCGGTGGGACGGAGGCCTTTGCTTGATACGAGGTTGAACATTGCCATTGGCCTGTTTATGAAATTATACTACGTTTAGAAATTCTTTTAATAAGTTAATATTGATAATAAATACTCTTTAACTTTGCTTTTAATGAAAAAACTCATTACACGCTAGAACATAGAGACATTACACGCTAGAAAACATGCTGCGTGCGTGAAACTTTTTAACCAGACGACCCAAACCATAAACTTAATGAGTTTGTTTCTAGACCAGAATTGTCCCTTAATTCATGATTTACATAAGGAGAAAAACCGTTTTAAAAACTATTTTATCGTTAGTAGTTGTCTGAGTTGTCGTAAAAATACAACCCTCGACTTTTGTATATGACTTCGACTTTTACCCTCACCCTCGACTTTTTACCCTCACCCTCGACTTTTTACCCTCACCCTCGACTTTTTATACCCTCACCCTCGACGTTTTTACCCTCACCCTCGACGTTTTACCCTCACCCTCGACATTGGACCCTCGACACTCGACCCTCGACAAAAACCTAAACTCCTTTGGTACATGCCAACGTCACCAAGTATTTTAGATAAACCATGATGTCACACAATTGGACTAGAATAAATGTTTGTTGCAAATGTGCCAAATCGCTGTTGCAAATGTGTCAGGCTAGATCTCTGATTCCCCAAAAGAGGCCGATATATTTTATACTAAGGGTACTTTAATTGGCGACGCGTCATGCTCGCGCCATGCAATATCTCAATTGAAGTGATATGCTACGTTTTTGTAGATAGAAATTTCCAGTGTACATTTTATACATTTTTAAACCTAACTGGCAGCAGATTACCCTAGCAGCAGATGCGAAGAATGGAACGATATATGGGCCCTCTGCGGGCAGCAATTGAACCTGCGGCCCAGCGATTCCATTGCAGGCTTGCAGCGCTCTAACCAAATGAGCTACCGAATCTAGTTGTCGAGGTTCAATTAACCGTAAGTTCGTGTATATAGCCTTTCTGAAACAGTGTATATACAGTAGTGTTTCTAGGCCAGCATATCTAGCATACTTTTGACTGCATACCGCACGAAATGAGCAAAATTCATTCCAATATTATTAAACACCATTAAAATCAGATAACAATCAATACGAGACCTAAAAATATTAAATATAGTTATATTTAGCTTCAATTACTTAGTCATAACACGAACAGATCAACTGGTTTAAACAAGCAAGTATTAATTGCCTCTTTACATATCAAACAGGTTCACCTTGTTTGATCCGGGTCATTTGAGCTAAGGTCAACATAAGTATTCTATATATAAATACCATGAACTACTGGGGGCTTTTTGGGACTAAATATGTAATGTAACTGACCTTCAGTGGTAACAAAGGTACATCTTATTCTAATTAACAATGCGATTGGACTGATTATAGTGTAACCAAATCGCAATGCAAAAATGCGAACTGTAATTTAAAAGTCAAATGAGGGTGGTCGATCTTTCCTGATGGCACGAATATTTTCAATTTGCATTTTTCCGATGGAATTTTTGCATAGACATACGATTGACTGGGGGAACTGCCCAGGCTGCAGTATCCCCCCACCCAGTGTTCTGAATTGGCAGATTGAATTCTACTTCAAAAATCGGGCAATTTGCTATTGGTATTAATGTATGTTTAGATGTTTGGTCAGAGCACTGAATGACAGATTGAAATTTATTTCATTAAACTGTTCAAATTGACATGCTGTAGAGTGAGGTGTTTTCGATGGTACCTTGAACAGGGCCGCCCAGAGGGCTAGCTAAAGGGGGCTCGCAAATAAGGATAAACCACAGTTAAGGAATTGCAGGAATTGCTATGTTCTAGGGACTCTAGATTTCCAAATTTTCCCAGGAAACCAAATAGACATTCAAAACTGAAAGAAATAGCCTTGCTAATTGTTCCGTATAAAGGTTCAAGAATATTGAAATCTGAATCTCTAAAAGAGCACATAATTTCAAGAGCCTTTAACGATAGAACTATAGTGCTACAAATATTAAATTTGCCCCAGGCCCACAAATTTATATGTGCGGCCCTGATCTTAACGAATGAATACCAAAAATACTTGTAAAATATTTTTGATTTATCGTTTTAAGATTTACTTTATTCCCTTTCTGCATAAATGAATAAATAGCAGCAACGCATCTCCTATCAATAAACCCAAGACGATGAGACCAAAATTATAACCAAAGTTTAAATCAGTATACCATCTTGAATTACTTTATACACCAAGATTCATGGTAGGATTGGTAGCCAACGCCACGTTGCAACTTTCAAGCAAGGCAAAACTTAAGTGTTTTTTTTGCCACTGACATTTTCCCAAATATATGGCGTCGCTTATTGTCAGACTCGTGATCATGAGGCGAATTATAGATTAGCCATATCGGTACGGTAAACAATCAAAAGCAGTAGTTGTTTACAGAATGCATGTGGCTACGGCGCTATTGTAAATAATATTGACAAACAATGTCGAATTTACATTTAACAAATATCATGTATCATTTTTGCTGGTTCAAGCGTCGCGGTTGAACGAGCTGAAAGCAGTTGGATGAAAGTCGGCTGTCACGCGACTTCGGTTAGAGTTTAAATACACATAAAGCCTAGTCATATTTTTAACTTAGACAGCTTGAATTGTCTCCTGTGAAGGTCCATTCCACTCAGGAAAATTTTCCACAGAAAGAAAATTTTGTAAAATTTGATTGGCCGACACAAACTTTCAACTTTTAAGTTGAAAATTTTCAACTTTTAACAATGATATTTTCGGCCAATCTTCTGTCCGTCGAAACTTTTCTTGCCAGTGGAAATGGGCCCGGTGCAGTTTGACTGGGGATTAAAATGGCCCTATTGTTGGTCCAAGCAGGTTCAGGCGAAAGGAAGCATGCCGAAACATTGAATTGATTGATGAGTTTGAAACATTTAAAACCTAGCTAGGACAATGGGAGGTCAATCATTCATCACTTACTTTAATCGGCTAGTATACTTTACTAATCATAATTAAAAGTGTCAGAAGGAATGTACTGAACTTGCAATCTTTGAGCTCTTTAATCTGACCGAAAAATGACATTTTTTCAATCCGTCTTTCGAAGACTACTTTTATGATGTAGAAGACAATCAGAGAGAATTAAAAAAACACGAATTTACAATTTTATCTCTAATTTGTAACCAGAGAAGAACTGCCTAAAGGTTGATGTTTGAAGCTTTTTAAAATCAATTGAATAACCGCATATTTATTATACTACAGTGCAATATGGACAATGTGATTGAAAATGGTGTCAGGGTGTTTAATATTCAACAGGTCAAATATGGTCAATTTGAGCACTTGCATCAATGTGAATTCATAGTCCAGTTCAAGTAATAAGTTCAGAACTTACAAAGGGTAACCCAGAACACGATTGGTTAAAAATTCAACCAATCATGAAGTTGCATTTTGGCGCCAAAAGGAAAATGCAAAATCTGACGAAAATAATGGGCATGCGCAAACGAAGTATTCCAATTGATTTTCTTTACACCAAGTATGGATGAAAAATTAAAAATTTAGAAAAATATGAATCATCTTTAAATTTTTTGTTGACTTCTTGCCGATGCGTGTGGGTTTAAAATCAGTTCCTAAAGTACATATACAGTCGATTTTTAAACTCACTTCTTGTTTGTGTGCGCGAAATAATCGCAGAAGTTTTAAAATGGCCACAAACGGCGCGACAACAGAACAAAAGGAAGGAACGGACAGAACAGAAGAACAAATTGTGAACATAGAAACTGTAGTGGCAGCGGACAACAAGGGGATTGATTATGATAAACTTATAAGTAAGTTGAAAAGTAAGGCTAGCTGGTACTTAGAAGTACTAAACAAGTAATCTGAGAGTTGTTTGTTGTTTTTAAGCAAATATCAGATAGTCCCTCAGGTATTTTGGAACGCTCGGTCACTCCCTGAAGTCACACTCGGCATCATGCATGAGTCAATTCGTACTGTTACCACCCCCCCCGGGCAATATCCCGGGGATTTGTAATTTTTTCATTAGTTGTTAGCAAATTCCCTACCCCCGGGACTTAGACATTTGCGAATTCCCCACCCTGGGGCAATACTGAAAAAGTACAAGAAAAATCGTGAGACAAATTATTTAACACAACTGCAAAAATGTATTCATTCCCTTGATGTTAAATAACGTATAATCGTGAAATTTATTTCAGACAAATTTTTTCCTAACGCATTGACAAACTCTGACGACTGGCCAGAAAAAAATTCTTCCAAGTTTTTCATCGCCATTTTGAAATTTTGATGTTTAGTTACCAGGCTCCTATTTACTTCTCATCTTTGCTAGATCCCCGCCCTATACCCCCGGGCATAACATCCGTTTGACAATTAGGGGGGGGGGGATGGTAACAGTACGAATTGACTCATGCATCAGGAACACAGCTAGAATAGACACAGAAGTCTGACTTCTTGTCAGTATCTTTGATGTTAGTGTAACCGCCACCATGCCATGAATTCGAATTGCAACGCTCTGAATGCTGTTGCCATGCCCCTTGCCACTAGTGTGCCAAGGAGAGGCCTTCACCCCCCTAAAAACATTCAAAATGGCCTGCTTGGCTACTAAGGGCAGTGAACTCCATGTCTTTTATCTGAAACGATAACATGCGGGAGAAATGTGACGCCAATGCCAGTGCCACTTCACCCAGGGTGTATGCATTCTAAGTGCAATATGCAGAAGATCGAACAGTGTGAGTTTGGCACAGTACAATACTATCTATAGTTAACATTGACAGATCTTCGGCATAGAGTTTGCATGGAATGCAGTGGCGGCGCCACGGGGAGGACTAGGGAGGACACGTTCCCCCCCAGTTCTCTTCAAGGTCGATTTTCTAATTTGTCCAAATCCGGTGAGAAATTTGGGGGGGGGGGGTACGTTTGTGACATCAGTCCAGTTATTTAGATATAACTTAATAAATTCAGTCTTTATTGTGTGAATAAAAACCGGTATTAAAAGATCTTCGCTTTACTTTTGACAAAAGACCATGTTTCATATATGCGGCATTTACCATTAGCATATGCAGGCACTAATTACGACCGCCGAAGGAAACCTATCATAATGGGTTAACATATTACCCAAACTTAAGTGCAATGGGTAATGTGTGATGCGGAAGTTTGGTCCTGCTGCTGAGATGTGAGGGAGATATGTTAATTAATGCACTGTTCATTAGCTTCTTGGAATGCATCACTACACAACTGAAAGAGAAAAATGTTCGAAGGAAGAGATCCATCAAGTGAAATTGTGTGTGAGGGAGGCAAATAGAACCTTCGTTTTCGAATCTTGACGGTTAGACCTATCTTAGATTTTTCAACATCGGAAATATCGATGAGAAAGTTTACATTCCAAAAGAAATGGTACGAAGAGTACATATATATGACTGGAATATTCAATGTAACAACTGCAAGATTACATACGAGCATCATAGCAGCGAAGAGATGGAAAGGAAAGAGTCTAGAGAAAGGGTCCAAAAGAAAGTTTCCACCTTGGATTTGCTTGTCCTCCTTGCTCGAAGTTTTCAGCAAAGATGATCTGCACCACCTTTATCCCGACTTGTTTGAGGTCGCTACCTTGCCTGTGACGTGGCATTATGTGAACGCACACACAGCAAGCTCAAAATAATAAACAATAATTTGCGAGTTGCTATGTCACCTGATAGACTCGAGGACCTTGTCCAGATTAGCAACGAACGAGATCTAGCCAACATTACAATATCGAACTTACCAAATTAGTGGAAATATTTAAGCTTGCAAAACCTCATAAGCTTGTCATGCAAGGAGATCTACGATAACATATAGCCATTATTATTCTACCTAACAGTTATTTCCATTTGTATTTAAATATAAAATAATGTTGACTTCAATTTTCCTGGAAGTAGCAATTCCTTTAGGCAGCTGTCAATCAATGTAATCGTAGTCAATAGAATAAGAAGGTTAGGGAACTCGATGCAGACATAATAGAGCTATCTATGTTTTTGTCTTGGTTTATGCAAAAAAATGGTCGGTTCATCGTCATGTGTGTATTGTATTTTTATTTTGCTAGAGTAACCAATAGTTACTATGTTTTTGTTTAGCTATTGTGTAATATTACGACCGGGTAATTAAACATGACGATGAACCGATCGTTCCTTGCATAAACCAGACAAAAACATAGATAATGAGGTCTGCATCGAGTTCCCTAACCTTATTCTTTTGACTATGATGTAATACTGCATTTGTAGGTATTATATATACGTATAGTCATGAAAAAATCGTGTGTTTTTTTACTTTATAATTTTCGGAATTCTAAATAATCTCACCCTGAAAATGCAGGAAATCGCATTTCAGGGACTCTAGATTTCAAAAATTTTTCGGGGGGGCATGCCCCCGGACCCCCCTAGAAGTGTCTCGCGCCTTTCCCGCTCGAAAATCCCCCCCACTTTTAAAAGGCTGGCGCCGCCACTGATGGAATGCACTTCACACTAACTCCATGATGGACAATGGTGATGGCGTATAAGGGGACTGAAAGTGACATACCATATGCCTAGCGTGGCGATGGACCACGCGGTGTTGGCATATAAAAGGGACTGAAACTGACATACTATATGGTGTGGAAATATAGTGTGGAGGGCTGCTCACACGTTGCTCAGGCGAGGCTTTACAGCCTTCACTTTTTAACTGCCAAATAACTGAGTGTTATTGTTCCAGGTAAAGTAAAATAAATTGAGTTTACTGGGCTAGGATTGCACTAGCTAAGTAGGAACATGACAAGTGCTTTGTGATTGTGAATCATGGCATGGAAGTTTCTGATCAAAATTCATTTTGGTTGAACATTTTTCCAGACAAATTTTCAACATTATTTCAGGTTCTAAACTGTGCCACACACATCTTGCTGTTTATTAAAAATAAAATATTCTTATGCTTGTGATTGTTACTCTGCGTGTATATCCATACCGGGCAGGCTTGGAAAATATGCCTGGCCACAGTGGGAATCGAACCTACGACCTTTGGAACACTAGCCCAATGCTCTGCCAACTGAGCTATGTGGTCAGGTTGGTTCGAGTATGTGATATTTCGGAACTGAGTCTAGTTCCTTCGATTTCTATGTAATCTAGTAATCATGATATTTTCTTGTGTTGGTGACTTGGTGTAATGTACTCAGGTGAATAAGATGCTTGTGATGTTACTCTGAGTGTAATCCACACCGGGCAGGCTTGGAAAATATTATGATTACTAGATTACATAGATATCGAAGGAACTAGACTCAGTTCTGAAATATCACATAATCGAACCGACCTGACTGCATAGCTCAGTTGGCAGAGCATTGGGCTAGTGTTCCAAAGGTTGTAGGTTCGATTCCCACCATGGCCACTGGCCAGGCATATTTTCCAAGCCTGCCCGGTGTGGATACGTCACTCAGAGTAACATCACAAGGCTAAATTTAGCATCTTATTCACCTGAGTGAGTACATTACACCAACACAAGAAAATATCATAAAATATTCTTATGTTTTAGAACAATTTGGCAGTCAAAAGGTTGAGGCAAGTCATATTGAGCGTATCGCTGAACTCAGTGGAAAACCTGTGCACCATTTTTTAAAACGTGGTATCTTTTTCTCTCAAAGGTCAGTTACTGCAGTAATCAAATTTGATTAGACTGTGATCATTTATTGCAGGTGCTTTATGGCTAAGTTTTGTTTTTGAAATTTTTTCAGAGATTTAAAAGTGATTTTAGATGCAATTGAAACAAAGAAGAAATTCTATTTATATACTGGCCGAGGCCCATCTTCAGAAGCTATGCATTTGGGACATTTAATTCCTTTTATTTTTACAAAGTAAGTATACTGGCCTCTGTGGTTCAGTTGGTTAGAGCGCTGTGCCAGAATCACCGGGTTGCAGGTTTGATTCCTGTACCTGTAGTTGCATTTTTGGCAACTGCCCCTGATTAGGTCCAAAAATAATTCTGATATTTATTATTTACTAATAACCTTTCTCCATCTTCCTCTTTGTTTTTTTTTTTTTTTTTGTCTGTGCATGATAACTTTAAAGTATCATTTGGACTTTTTCAGATACTTACAAGATGCATTTGATGTTCCATTAGTAATTCAGTTGACAGATGATGAAAAGTTTTTATGGAAGAATTTAAAACTAGAGGAAGCTCACAGGCTGGCATATGAGAATGCAAAAGACATCATTGCCTGTGGCTTTGATGTAAACAAGACATTTATATTTTCAGATCTGGATTTCGTTGGGTAAATCTTATTGTGTTTGCATGTTATTGATATGTTAGTACAGCAATTACAGTAACAACTACAACAATATAGAAGCCAACAACAATGTTCAGCAACAAAAACAACATGACAAACAGCAGCAATGGCAATGCCATCATCATCATCATCATCATCATCATCAACAACAACAACAACAACAACAACAACAACAACAACAACAACAACAACAACAACAACAACAACAACAACAACAACAACAGCAACAACAACAGCAACAAGTCCACAATACCAGCAAATCAACAGTAACAACAATCAATGATAATAATATCAACAAAACTGGCAGTAACAACAACAGTGGTCTGGTGCCTAAATTACTTTGAATTTGTACTCGAGTAAAAGTAGAAGTAATTAAAAACAAAACGGCTTGAGTAAGAGTAAAAAATACTGGAGGCAAAACGTACTTATAATTAAGTAAAAAGTATCCTTAAAAATGCTTGAAGTAAAAAGTAAAACTACTATTATCTGTAGCGTGTAGGGAGGGGGGGGGGAGGTCACTTTTCTAATGGATTGACATGTGAAAGACACAACATAGACGCACACGCATTATATGCGTGCACCTAATGTACAATATTTCATGGCATGGTCCACTTTACAGACCCCGTTGAAGATATAAGAAATCCATTAAATAAATAATGCTTATAAGTAAGCCACAAACGAGAGATCCCAGACACATGTAGAGGTCCTATTACCTATCCCAAAATTAAAATAAATCAGGAATAAATAAATCACGTAAAATTAAACAAAAGTTAGAAAGTAACGAAATACTTTGCCAGGGAATGAAAAGAACGAAGTAAAACGTTTCTTCTTAAAACGACTTCGTTCCAAGTAAAAGTACTCCAGAAAAAGTTTACTTGGTTCATGTTGACTTCTCAAAAATAGTACTCATGTACAGTTAACGAAGTACATTTACTTCGTTACTTGACACCACTCAGACCACTGGACAACAAGAACAGTACTAACAACGTAAAGTAGCAACGTACGACAACAACATGCAATGACAACAAAAACATAAGTAACAATGATAACACCAGTATCATTCAACAACAATGACAGCAACAATAAGAAAAACAACAGCAACAACAACTATATAAATTTGTTTCCTTTTCTAGTGGTTGTAAAGAATTTTACAAGAACGTTGTCAAGATTCAAAAATGTGTCACTTTTAACCAAGTCAGATCAATATTTGGTTTTACAGATAGTGATCCTATAGGTATCCAGTTTAAATTAAAATGTCTCTCTTTTAATGGTTGAAATCTCAAAATCATATAGCGTGTTATGGTTCTGAATTTTTGTTTAGGTAAAATATCTTTCCCTGCGATCCAAGCGGCTCCTTCATTTAGTAATTCATTTCCTCACATATTTGGTGAAAAACATGATATTCCTTGTCTAATTCCTTGTGCTATTGACCAGGTGAGCAAGATTTTCAATGTGTGCTACAATTCTTATCAGTGGCATAGCCCGCCAATTAAGGTCCAAACACACCGGACGCGATTCGACAACGCGACGCAATTTTTTAGTGTTTGAAAGTTAATAAAATAGCCAATGAGAGCAAATTTTAAAAGATATGTAGACCAAACAACTCAAAATGTTATAGCGCTTCTAAATATTTGGAGAATTTAAACGAGGATCAAAGTTACTGGTCAGTAAAAATCGAAAAATTGCGTCGCGTTGCCGAATCGCGTCCGGTGTGTCTGGACCTTTAGTCCCACTATGCAAATTCAAAATTATTATCATTATTCATTTCTTTAGAAATATTTGCATAGCGGGACTAAATCGTCGGGCTGACTGCGCTACTGATTCTTACGCCTACCAAACAGGGGGTATCTAATGGAGGAAGTGTATTATTTTTAGGGGATGCAGCATCCAGACCTGCCAACTCATCCAATTTACTGGGGTGTCAACTATTTTTTTTAGCAAATCTCTAGATGAACCTATCGAAGGTCATGCGTATTCACCCGATTTTTATTGGGCTTCCTACATGATACTAATAATCTATAACATCAACCTAATAACATTTCCTGCCATTACCATAGCTGGAAAGAGCATCTTAAAATGAGTAAAATTGCGAAGTTTGGTTGCGAATTATTGTAAAATGAGGAAAATAGTATAGCCCATCTTGTATATATTTTTATAATATAGCATTTGTAAATTCTGAACGCTGATTGGCTAAGAGCCGTGTTGATATAACACGGAAATTTTTCTTATTCTTCGGGCTTTTGACATTGCTACATTGCTATATACATTGCGTCGTGTTTCCACACAATTTCTCGTTTTCCCAATTTCCACTCGTGTTGATATAACTGTATATCAACACGGAAAATGTTTTATATTTGTTAAGTATTACGCGCGGGAGTTACAACCATTTTTGTATTATTTTGAGCCGAAAGTGGTTATTTTTACCATGCGTATTCTTTAACCCCAAGAAACCGCACTTTCCGTCACCCAATTTGGCCACAAAGGATTTGCGTGATTTATTAAATGCAAATATATACAAAATTTGCGAACTTCACAGGGCTGTATTTTCTTCATTTTACAACATTTAGCAACCAATCTTTGCAGTTTTACTCATTCTAAGACGCTCTTTCTAGCTGTTGTGTTGGATTTCGTTCTTCTTGCTTAGATCAAAATTTAGTCTATAGCTGCAATCACCCATAACTTTGCATTCGCCATTCTCAACATTGTTTTTTTTCTTGCCATATTGTACTTAAAAGGTACACAAATTTATTTATTTATTTTATTGGCGTACCTCCGGTACGTTAATTACTTACTATGTGAATTATCGCACGCTACAAATACTCGTAAATTACTTGCGGTGAACGTGGTACACCATGTATGAGCTATTTGATGCGAATGATTCAGGGGTGCTTATTGGTATTTAATTCTTTTGGGAGAGGTGCATGTGCACCTGTCCGCACCCCCTGAGTATCCACCTATGATGTAAATTAGAGCTGTGCGGTTAACCGAAAAATTCGGTTCTTCCGGTACTTTTTTCAGCACCGAAAAATTATATACGTAAAAGAACCGGTAGTTTCGGTTTTTAAATTTCCCGTTTAACACCCGCCAAACACCCACCTGCCGCAGGTTGAAATGTTTGGAAAATAACAAAATTGTGCTCTTTGTGCACAATATGCACTGTGCACAATATGCAATAAGTGCTCAAATAGTTGATATTTTAGTTGTGATAGTTATTGTTGTGAACTTGCTTTAAATTTTTTTAAAAACTAAGAAAATTATTTCATCTTCATAAATAAATTTCAATTGTTCTTTTAAAATATTCAGAGATTTATAAAAACTTACAAAGGCATAAATTCATCTATTTAGTAAAAATGCTCGAAACATACATAAATGAGTTCATACATTTGTACTGTTCTTCTTTTTTGAAAATAACCGAAACCGAACCAAACCGAGGTTTTTTTGTTCCAAAAAAACTGAAACCGGAACCGAGATAAAATTTTTGGAACCGCACAGCTCTAATGTAAATTAATAATAATAATAATAATAATGCTTTATTCACAGTATATCTACAAAGTAGTTCTTCATCTGTGAAGGATTAGTAATAAATATTAGTAATATATATAGAATTGAAATTTTGTAAAAACATAAATCTAGGATAATGCAAATATATAGTCATTCACATGCTATTTTAAACTCTAACTCAGTTTACATCTTTCACATTTTGACAGGATCCATATTTCCGTATGACGCGAGATGTAGCTCCAAGATTGGGATATCCCAAACCCTCGCTTCTTCACTCGACTTTCTTCCCAGCTTTGCAAGGAGCAAAGACGAAGATGAGTGCGAGTGATCCTAATTCATCCATCTTCTTGACCGATACTCCTGCCCAAATAAAGAAAAAGGTAGGAAAAGACCTATATTTATAATGCCTATAGTCAAATCATTTGCCGAGAAAAATATGATTGTGGTGTGAAATTATTCAAGATAATGCTCTCTGAGCAGGCCTGCAAATAATTATTTTACTTGGAAGGACAAATGTCTGGCCAGGTCAAAAATTGGTCGGACAGCTGCATTTATCAATTTTTCCCGGACAATAGACAAAGTGAAATTTTCATATTTTGTTTTGAAAATTAGCACGATGTATTTATTGCCTGGTCCACCAATGTTAGTCCGCACTGCAATACATCTAAAACTTAGTATATATCGGCTACCAGTCCTATTGCATCAGAAAATTATGGTACATAACTTTAATTTCTGCCATGTATACAAATGTGATGTAGATATATAATTAAATCTTACGGCTTAATGCAGCAAGAAATAGTGCATGGAAAAGTGCTGTCTATATTGCTTTCTTGTTGGTTTCGTTAATAAAAAATGTGTTGTATAAGCACTTTTCTGAGATTGGAGATTTGACTAGCCTAAATTGGTCGGTTACATGCATGTCCGGTCATAAAAGCTTTGATCAGACAAAAGGTAAAATTTGGCCTGACGCAATAATTTGCAGGCCTGCTGAGTGTGTCCGCACCGGGCATGCAAGTTAACATACTTGTTTGAGCGCGGTGGGAATTGAGCCTGCGACCTTTGGTTTGCTATAGTCTAATGCTCTACAAACTGAGCTACGAGGTCAAGTTGGTTTGAGTAGGTGATATTTCGGAACTCAATTTAGTTCATTTGAAATCATGCAGTATACAGGTTTACCAACGAATAGAAGCCGGCGAATTTCGCCGCCTATAACATATAGACAGTCGCTGGTTTTTCTCGAAATTATTTCCTTCTTACCACAGAAATGTTAAGGAGAAGGTTTCATGCTTTTAAAACATAAATTTTGCAAAATTTTCCTCGTTAAATGCTTTGAATAATATGTCGAAATCTAAAAAAAAAAACCCTCTCTAAAGTGGCTAGAAATGGCATTTCAAGGTCAAGGGGTCTAAATTTCAAAATCTTCACCGAAAGCCGCTCTTGGAGTAAAATTGGGCGGTATTGAAATTTCAATACCGGTTACGTTATTTAAAAAAAATACCGCGGTATGCCGGTATGCAAGTACGTAAATTTGTAATAAAATGCCGAAACTTTATTCGCGACATGAAAATAAACGAAGCTTCGATTAACTATATGCTATTTTGCGAGACAAACAATGTGTTTGCTTCTCGTTTGTGAACTTTTCTTCATTTCAAATAAAAAGATAAGATAGCCACTGATGCCGGTATATTTTATAGTATATCGTATAACAACGGTATATCGATATAGCGTCAAAACCAATAACGCCATACGGCACAGGGTGCGATAATTCAATATTTGTAGTCGTACTGTGAACACCGCGGAAAAACGTCTGCACATGCACCAAATTATGAAAATATGGTGGGGAATTTGAATATCAATTTCTAAAACAAAAACATGCTTATTAATTGGTCAAAATTAGTAAAACAAACGAGAAAATATAGCAAATGGGTAGACTAGACATTAATTGAAAGCGTCCTGGCATTTAAAGTATGGAATGAAATATAATTCA